ACTCCACCTCCAAAATCTCCAGGAATTCCCCAACTCAGAGCTGGCAACCCTAACAGGCCTTAGAGTAGGTATAACCCACAAAAGCTCACTCTTGTATCTTAGCATGAATTTTGCAGATGATTTCACGGCAGCAACCTGCTTGCGATCTTGAATCGTTCCAGTCTTGCCCATGGGGGTGCACAGGATGTGGGACAGGCTGATGTGTCTGCGATCACACACACTAAATAATCCACTGCCAATCCACTTTCCCATTGGATTTCACTGCGGCCCATTCTGCATCTAGCATTCTCTCTGTTGTTTTACCAAACCCACACTGGAACAGAGAAAGATGCAGCTCAAAACCACATCCAAATACCCCGGGGCCAACGCTATACTGACTGCAGCGTCACCGCTGAATGGCCATAAAACAGCCATAAATCTATGCAGACACAGGGCCGGCTCGAGGTGTTTCTGTGCCCTAGGCGAGGCTGCCTTGTGGCACAGATGCCAACCTCCCGGTGGGGCCTGGAAACCTCTGGAGCCAGCCACCCTTTTGCTACCGCCGCCACCGCCGCCACCGCCTCCCCCCCCCACAGCTGTCAGACCCAGCGAGCATGCCCCACATGTTCCTGCAGCACCCTCCAAGATGGAAGAGAGATTTCTCTTGTGCTCCGCTTCCGAAGGCAGTTTGGGAGGGAGGTGGGGGGGATCCTGTCTCCAGGCGCAGGATGCTCACCGGATGCCTCTCCCCAATTAGCAAAGTACTGACACTTGGAGAGCTGCTTGCGGGCTTTTGGTGGGGGGGGGAAGCACAGCTCGGCGCCCCATCCAGGGCCCAGCACTCTAGGCGAATGCCTAGTTCGCCTAGTGGGTGAGCCGGCCCTGTGCAGACGGTACCATAAAACTGAGAGATCAAAGGAAGTAAAACCGGCATGCAGTGTGGAGGCATCCGTAAAATCCAACAGTCAAAGAAAGTGAAAGTGGCATGCAATGTAGAGGGGAATTTCTGTTCCAGCATGGGTTTGGTAAAACAGTGGAGTGAATGCTCGATGCAGAAGGGGCCACAGTGAACTGGCAAAATCCAATTTGGAAGCGCATGGAAAGTGGATCTAAAGTGGATTATCTTGTGTGTGTGGTCGTAGTTCACGGCTTGTCCCCAAGAATGGTACATAAAGCTCGTGTTAGAGCAAGGGGTCCCCAACCTTTCTGAGCTGGTGGGTCTCTTTGGAATTCTGACACAGGGTAGTGGGCACAACCACAAGATGGCTGCCACGGGGGGGCTGAGCTATACACGCCCTCAGAGGAAATCCAAGTGCAGGGGAGAAGAAGGGTACGGTATTTTGCAGTGTGAGCACTGTGTGTGTGTTTTTTTTTATGTTTTAAGGTGGAGTCTTAAATGTATGTTGCTGTGACTTGAAATGCAGGCCTGTAGAGTAAGAAAGAGGAGTGAGCTTGAGTGAGTGGGATGTGTTATGATTGGATGGTAGCGGTCAGGGCTATTTTTGGGCAGGAACGCACAGGAACGGAGTTCCGGCTGGCTCCCGAGTTGGCCACGCCCAGCAGGAGCTCATTAGCATAACAGGCCACACCCAACAGCAGAAACTCATTGGAATTGGCTACATTAGGGGTGTGTGGCCTAACATGCAAAGGAGTTCCTGCTACAAAAAAAGCCCTGGGTTTTGACAACAGACAAGGTCAACAGAATGAGAAGCAAAAGGTGGGTGTGGCTGGATGACCACACTTCTGGCAACACGGGGGTGTGGCCTAATGTGTTAATAAGCTGTCCTATCAGGGGTGTGGCCTAATATGCTAATGAGTTCCTGCTGTTGGGTATGGCTTATTATGCTAATGAGTTCCTGCTGGGCTTTTTCTACAAAAAAAGCCCTGGTAGCGGTACCTGAGGGGTGGCGCAGGCTGGTTTGTTCAGAGAGAGGCTTTTGTGTGAGAGAGTTAGTGTTGAGCACTGTGTGTGTGTGGAGGAAGGCGCTTGAGGGAGGGACTGTAGGATGCTGTGAGAGGGATTTGTGTTTTCTGTGTGCAAACTGTTAGCCTAAGTGGCAAATGAAGAAAATAAGTCTGTGTGGAAGTGATGAGTCTGGGTGGCAAATTAGGAAGTTAAACTGTGTATTTTATTATTATTTTTTATACTTATATCCCACCCTATCCTACGGTGGGTTCAAGGCAGCTGTGGGGAAGTTATTGGCCTAAGCGGCAAGGGAGAAAATAAGCCTGTATGGCTAGGTCTGTTTGAGGAACCTACGCAGCTGTACCTACCTGAAACTGTGACACTTATTAACCATACAGAAACCATTAAGCAGTTTTACTTATGAACAAGCTCCCTTCATGTTTAAGACAACTGTTTGTTTTAGAATGAAACATTCCATTTTACCTCCACGTGCTAACTGTTCTTTCAGTCTACCACATACAACTAAGCCATCCTGTTATCCTCCACTCGTACCTGACTGTATGACCTTGGGGAAGCCGTAGTTTGATAAGAGCTGTTCTTGAAAAAGAGCAGTTTCTGTCAAGAGCTCTCTCAGCCCCGCCTACCTCACAGGGTGTCTGCTGTGGGGAGGGGAAGGGAAAGGAGTTTGTAAGCCGCTCTGAGACACCTTTGAGTAGTGAAGGGTGGGGTATAAATCCAATCTCTTCTTCTTCTTCTTCTTCTTTCTTGGCTCTAGCTAAGACAGAGAGTGGTTATAATGTGGAATTTGCTGCCAGAGGATGTAGTGATGGCCACAGGAAAAGACAGCTTTCAAAGGGGATTAGATAGATAGATTCATGGAGGAGAAGTCTATCAATGGATACTAGCCATGGTGACTGAGGGGAACCTCCACATTCAGAGGCATGAATCCTCTGAATCCCAGAACCAGGAGGCAACATCAGGGGAAGGCCTCGGTCTCTAGGCCTTGATGTTGGCTGTCCAGAGGAACTGGTTGGCCACTGTGAGAGACAGGATGCTGGACCAGATGGACCACTGGTCTGATCTAGCAGGGCTTTTTGTATGTTCTTAGGAAGGCTTCAGCCTCTGTGCCTTTTTGTTGGCCCTCTAGAGGAACTGGTTGGCCCCTGTGTGAGATGGGATGCTGGACTAAATGGACCTCTGGTCTGATCCAGCAGGATTCTCCATATATTCTTAGGAAGGCCTCAGCCTCTATGCCCTGTTGTTGGCCCTCCAGAGGAACTGGTTGGTCACTGTGAGAGACAGGACTAGATGGACCACTGGTCTGATCCAGCAGGGCTCTTCTTGTATTCTTACAAAGGCCTTGGCCTCTGTGCCCTGCTGTTGACCCTCCAGAGGGTTGGCCCCTCTGTGAGACAGGATGCTGGACTAGATGGACCACTGTTCTGATCCAGCAGGGCTCTTTTTGTGTTCTTACAAAGGCCTCGGCCTCTATGCCCTGTTGTTGGCCCTCCAAAGGAACTGGCTGGCCCCTGTGTGAGACCGGATGCTGGACGAGATGGACCACTGGTCTGATCCAGCAGGGCTCTTCTCATGTTCTAAGGTGAGAGCCTTTGGTGGCAGTGAAAATAAGGAAGGCAAGGAGGCAGCATAACACACATCACCTCAGAACAATACCAAGAGGTGCCTTTACAGAGGTTAAACAGCTCACATAAAGAAAGAGCGCAAAATGTTACAAGGGTTATTTTTGAAAATACAGTGGGAAAGAGGACCGAGATAATAAAACCAACACTGGCCCCGTTCACACAGAGAAGTTGCCACGCTGAAGACATGGATGATAGGCGGATTTTCCGGGTGCGATCACACTGCAACACCTGGGAAGCACAGTGCACCCGTGGCTAACCCGTGGCTTGTTGCCGAAGATGTGGAGTAAAAAACCACCACACAGGATGTACTAGTTTCCGGAAAACGTGGGGCAAGGGCGGGCATCTGATTGCGTTTCCACTGGAATCCTGTGGCATCCGGCGCCTGCCCCTGTCCCGTTGCAAACCGGATGTTGTTGTTTTTTTAAGTCTCCACAGGATGCGCACAAATGCCCACCGGTACATGCACACACTGGTGAGGGGAAAAAATTCCAGTTTGCCATGGAAGTGGCGCCTAGCGATTGCCAGTGTGATTGCGCCGTGCCGCTTCTTTGCCGTGCTGCAGGTAGCCTTGTGATTGGCACCTAAGGGCATACCCACGGGACCACCACGGGACATGTGATCGGGCTGCTGCGCGTTACTTTGCTCCAGGGCAAACAGCCACGCTTCCCCCCACACACATTTTCCGGCCCGTGTGACCAGGGCCACTGTTTGCAGCTGCTGCCAAAGCCACATTATTTTAACCTGCACAGCCAATCAGATTCCCGGTGGCCTATCAGAAGTTCTGCTGGGCAACAGCTCCACCTGGCTCCACCCACTTTCTGAAAATACTTGGCAGGTGCCAGGAAAGGTGTCGGTGGAAGCCCAGGGGCACCACGTTGGGGACCTCTGCGTGAGAGTCTACATTGGGCTAGGATCTGTAGACAGACCTAAACATTTCACCAGAAGGCACAGGAAGGCTCAAGAAATAAGTTCTCAGGAGAAACCATCACTTTCGGTAACATCCGTAGCCAGGGGTCATTTCCCGCAGGAGCGCACAGGAGCGGAGCTCCGGCAGTAAAGAGCACAGGGGGTGGGCACATGCAACAAGCCCCACCCCCTGCTCCCAGCAGCCCTCGGTCAGAGCAAGAAGTAGCCAGGTAAGTTGCAGAGCTCCCCCCGGCCCCCCGGTCCAAAACAGTCCAGTGGCACCTTTAAGACCAAGTTTTATTCAGGTACAAGCTCTCCCTCCTCTGTGAGGACAGATCTGCACATTCCCCCCCCCCAATAGCTAGCAATCCAAAAGAGTCCAGTGGAGCCTGAGCAGTGGGTGTTGCCTTCTGACACACTTCCAGTGATGTCAGGGGATTTGGCGTATGCAAATAAGTTATGCTAATGAGTTATGCTAATGAGCTCCTGCACCTCTTTTTCTACGAAAGGACCCCTGTCCGTAGCATACCTTTTGCCTCATTTGCATCGTCTGACAAAGTGGGCCGAGGCCCAGGCAAGCTTCTAAAACGATAAATGTGTTAGCGTTTGAGGTGCCGCAAGGCTCTCGTTTTTATCTTCATTGCAATGAATAAACACTGGGATATGTATGCTAACAACTGTTTGAATGTTTTTGAATATATAAATTATACATTGGTGATTTGATAGGGAATTTGGAAGGGGCTTTCAGTAGAGGGTGGGGTTGCCAGGTCCATTAGAGACACTGGCAGCGGGGGTCGGTGGGATGTTCCGGGAGCTGGAAGTTTTGGGGCAGGTAAAAAAATCTAAGAAGTAGGGGGCTCTCTATTTACCTCACAGATAAGTACAGCCTTAGTCTAGCAGGTTTCCAGATATGAGGTCTTTAGGGAGCACGTATCTTACACACTCCCAATCTTTATTTTAAAGCTTGGGGGGGGGGCTTTTATTTGATTGTGGGTGGTTGGAGTATAAAGAATCTATAGGAGTGGGGGACTGGATATTCTTCATTAGAGACACTGCTTCAGTCCAGAAAGCAGTTGCCTCAGAGCCTTTCCCACCTCTCTCTTTCACCCCATAGCTGGGGGAGTGACCCTTTAGGGTTTTCAAGGCAAGAGACGTTCAGAGATGGTTTGCCATTGCTCGCCTCTATGTAGCAAACCCTGGACTTCCTTGGTGATCTCCCATCCAAATACTAACCAAACCCAATGCTGCTTACCTTTTCTCTCTCCCCCTCCCCCGCTTTGTATGTGGTTCATTTATATCCTACGTTCTACAGCAATTGTATTCTGAACAATGCTATGCTTTCCCATCTGATTTCAATTTGGAAAATCAACAGACCAATAAATCGAAAGCATTATTATTATTATTATTATTATTATTATTATTATTATTATTATTACAAGCGAACAAAATATCATCTCGTACATTCCTTACTTAAGCACAATTTTTAAAAGTCGGGCGCTGAAGCGGTTGGTGTGTCGCTGAGTACATTTGGCTAAACATTATCCACACCACAATTGGCTTCCTCACAGCGACGAGCAGATGCAAGGAGCTGCCCTCGGCCGCAAAGATTTCTGGAGGAAGATGTTCAAATCGCAGAGCGCTGCGAGCGATACCAGCAGCCAGTCGGAGCAGGATACCTCGGAGTGCACCACTGCACACTCAGGGACTACCACGGAGAGGCGTTTGCGCTCCCGCTCGAGACGGATCTCTCTTCGGAAGAAGCTCAAACTGCCCCTAGGTAAACGTTTGACTTGGTACCATGTTTCCACAATGTGAGCAGCAAAATCAGGCCGTACACAGACAGGGCATAGTCCTTATGTAGTAAGGTAAGGGTCCCCAACCTTTCTGAGCCTATGGGCACCTTTGGAATTCTGACACAGAGTGGTGGGCACAACCACAAAATGGCTGCCGCAAGAGGTGGAGCTAACTACAAAATGGCTGCCACAAAAAATGGGTCCAGTCACAAAATGGCTGCTGTAAGAGGTAGAACCAACCACAAAATGTCAAGAAGCAAGCTCCTGCGTTACTCTAGTAATAACTCTTCCATATTTCAGGCAGAAGCTCTCTTTAACAGGATGCCTTTTTAAAAATGAACATATTGTTTAAAAATATTGCCTTGCATAAACACAGCTTCACTGCATGAATGAAGAGAAGATCTTTGTGCTGTGGTGGTGGCACAACCAATTAGATCTCCAAGAGCCAGTCAGAAGCCATGCTGGCCAAAAGCCCCCACCTGGCCCCACCAACTTTCTAAAAACAGTTGGTGAGCACCAAAAAAGGTGTTGGTGGGCAAAACGGCACCCACAGGCACTGCATTGGGCAACCCTGTAGTAAGGAGACTCCCATGCTATGCAGAAAAAAATATGAATGTGGTGTAGTGGTTAAGAGCAGTGGACTAATCAGGAGAACTGGGTTCGATTCTCAGGCCTCCCCATGAAGCCAGCTGGGTGACCTTGGGCCAGTCACCATTCTCTCAGCCCTACCTACCTCACAAGGTTCCTGTTGTGGGAAGAGGAAGGGAAGGAGATTGTAAGCCACTTTGAGACTTCTTGAGGTAGAGAAAAGCTGGGTATGAAAACCAACCCTTCTGCTTCGTATTGGATCAAAAGAAAAAAAGTCTTGATGAGGACTGAGCAAGCTTCAGGAGGCAAGGAATACTGAGTGCAGTTGAGAAAGGGGAGTGGGAGAGAAATTGGCTTACTCAGTTCCCCGAGTGTTTATAGAATCCTGGACTTTGGGCCAGTGGCAGAATTAACAAAATGAACAAAAAGAATGAACAAAAACCTGAGTCAGATTGAGGTGATGAGAGAGGAGGTCCTACGACTGATAGACAACTTAAAAACTGATAAATCACCAGTTCCTCATCAAAGACTCCTAAGTAAGCTCAAAAATCACGGGATAAAAGAACAAGTCCTTTTGTGGATGAAAAATTGGCTAGTTAATAGGAAACAGAGAGTGAGTATAAATGGGAAATTTTCTCAGTGGAGGGTGGTAAGCAGTGGGGTACCGCAGGGATCAGTACTTGGTCTGATGCTTTTTAACTTGTTCATTAGTGATTTGGTGTTGGGAGTAAACAGTGAAGTGGCTAAATTTGCGGATGATATGAAGTTGTTCAGGGTAGTGAAAACCAGTGAGGATTGAGAGGCACTCCAAAGGGATCTGTCAAAGATGGGCAAATGGGTGTCAACATGGCAAATGGGGTTCAATGTGGCCAAGTGCAAGGTGATGCCCATTGGAGCCAAAAATCCTAAATATAAATGCACGTTGATGGGGTCTGAACTGGCAGAGACTGATCAAGAGAGAGATCTTGGAGTTGTAGTAGATAACTCACTGAAAATGTCGAGACAGTGTGTGACTGCAATAAAGAAGGCCAATGCTATGCTAGGGATTATTAGGAAGGGTATTGAAAACAGATCAGCCAATATCATAATGCCCCTATATTAATCAATGGTGCGACCTCATCTGGAATACTGTGTGCAATTCTGGTACCCACACCATAAAAAGGATATTATAGGTTTGGAAAAAGTGCAGAAAAGGGCAACTATAATGATAAAAGGGTTGGAACACTTTCCCTATGAAGAAAGGTTAAAATGCTTGGGGCTCTTTAGCTTGGAGAAATGACGGTTGGGGGGTGACATGATCGAGGTTTATAAGATTATGCATGGGATAGAGCAGGTAGAGAAAGAGGTACTTTTTTCCCTTTCTCACAATACAAGAACTCGTGGGCACTCCATGAAACTGCAGAGCGGTCGGGTTAGAATGGATAAAAGGAAGTCCTTCTTCACCCAAAGAGTGATTAACACATGGAATTCATTGCCACAGGAGGTGGTGGCGGCTACAAGCATGGATGGCTTCAAGAGGGAATTAGATAAGCATGTGGAGCAGAGGTCCATCGGTGGCTATTAGCCACAAGGTATAGATAGGGACTCTGGGGCAAGTGATGCTCTGTATTCTTGGTGCTTGGGGGGGGGGGGACAACAGTGGGAGGGCTTCTAGTGTCCTGGCCCCACTGGTGGACCTCCTGATGGCGCCTGGTATTTTTGGCCACTGTGTGACAGTGTTGGACTGGATGGGCCGTTGGCCGGATCCAACTTTGATTTCTCTTATGTTCTTATGTTCTCTTATGTGCAATTCCTCACAGGTCCCCTCTGCCCCACTTGGGGGGGGGGGAGTGTGCGGCAAGCTTGGTGTTACAGCTCAGCTGCCTTCTGGAGCTGTTGACATCTGCATTTACTCCTCTTGCAGTTTTCCTCATCACCATGACAGGGATTTGAAAGCAGCTTACCAGTGGATGACTAATCAGGGCTCTGCCATGGCTGCCCTGAGGACAACTGAGCACGTTAATTGGAGAGCCAGTTTGGTGTCGTGATTAAGTGCACGGACTCTAATCTGGGAGAACCGGGTTTGATTCCCCACTCCTCCACTTGCACCTGGCTGGATGACCTTGGGCAAGCCGTAGTTCTGATAAGAGCTGTCCTTGAAAAAGAGCAGTTTCTGTCAGAGCTCTCTCTCAGCCCTACCGACCTCACAGGGTGTCTGTTGTGGGGAGGGGAAGGGAAAGGAGTTTGTAAGCCGCTCTGAGACACTCTTGGGTAGTGAAGGGCGGGGTATAAATCCAATCTCTTCTTCTCTTCTTTGTCTTCTTCTCTTGGAATATAAAGAGCAGATCAGAGTCAGCCAAAGTGGGGGAGGGGGGGAATGGATGGATTGATTGGCCTGCTCAAACTATTTGCCACTTGTTTATTTCTTCCCACCTCATGATTCCTTCATGGACCCTGGCTAAAATATTTTCATATGCCTATCTGTGCTGTACAAAGAAGTCTTCAAACAAATGTTCCAGTCAGATTTTGACAACACAGGCAACATAAATATTATTCAGCCTTTTGTCTAAATTATTATCTAAAACTCAATTTCTCCTACCAGAAATTGATGGGGGGGTTTAAAAAAAAATCACGTGCTGTACCTAGTTTTCTTCATGAGGAACATCTTGATTATTTTCTTCATGAGGAACAAAAGTGGGATCAGCTGCCTCGGGAGGTGGTGAGCTCCCCCTCCCTGGCAGTCTCGAAGCAGCGGCTGGACAGACCCTTGTCAGGGATGCTCTAGGCTGATCCTGCATTGAGCAGGGGGTTGGACTAGATGGCCTATAGGGCCCCTTCCGACTCCTTGACTCTATGATTCTCCAGGGAACTAGTGAGGGATTCACATTTATAGCTGGTTAACATAGGGTGAAGACAGAAGTAACAATAAAGGTGGTGGGAATGAACATATACTGTCACTTCATTGTGCTTATGTTCAGGGCTTTTACTACTTTTTCTTTTCAGGGAATTGGTTGAAACGCTCATCGCTTTCTGGTCTGACGGATGGTGTCGAAGACCTTCTGGATATCAGCTCTGTAGACCGCCTCTCTTTCATTAGGCAGAGTTCCAAGGTAAGCAATTGTCCTTAGACTAGTTGACAGATCAAGAGTAAGAATGTGTACTGAATCTTGTGCGGGATCCACAGGTCCTTAGATATTGCACTGTAGTAATCATTCACCCGAATTTTCGTGTCCATGTCCCTTATGCCAGTGTTTCCCAACCTGAGGGTCAGGATCCAAAAGTGATTCACAAAGTTTCTGAAAGTGGATCGTGGGCCACCACCGCCCCCCCTCTGCCATTTCCTTTGCTCTCTTTTGTGTTTTGGAAACTAAGATCTGACCCTGGAAATAGGATCTGCTATGCTATACATTAGTTGGTTATTTGTTTTCTTCATTGCATGTACAAGTCGATGGAGTAAAATGTGTCCCGATGGTTACTAGAGTGGTTTTCTTAGAATCTCAGTGGGGATAAGAAGGAGTCATGGAGAAGAAGAGGGTGGTCGAAGGCTGGAATGTAACCATATGCAAAGGCTATGTGTGTCAGAATTAGGGATGTGCATTCGGTTTGGATGAACCGAAACACCCCCCTCTCCGAATAATGCTTATTTGGCATTATTCGGGCATGCTGAAAGCCAAATCAGATTAGGGAATCTGATTTGGCTGGCCAAACAGGGATTCCCCGAATGGATGCCGTATATTCGGCATCCATTCGGTGGAATCCCTTTGCTGGGTGGGAAAGGGATGGGGCACCTCTCCAGCAAAGGAAAGGTGTTTAAATTTAAAACACTTTCCCTCCCTTGCTTCTTGGGTTCTTGCCACCTCAGTGGAGTGACTCCCCCGCATGAAGGCGGCTGGAGCCCCAGAAGCAAGGGAAAGTCTTTTAAATCCAAGCACTTTCCCTTCCCCACCCGCTTTGGCAGGTGGGCTGGACAAAGCATGGGGAGGCATTTCAAATTCCCTGAAAAGAAAAAGCACCAGGGCTCCCTGCAAGCCTAATTAAAGGAGGCGGGCTACAACCCACCAGCTTTTTCTTCCTCTTCCTTCAGGTGAAATTCACGAGTGCGGTGAAGCTGTCTGAAGGCGGCCCAGGAAGCGGTTTGGAGAATGGGCGAGAGGAAGAGGAGAATTTCTTCAAGCGTCTTGGTAAATGGCGCACCTGCCGAAGAAATCCATCCAAGCTCCATCACACAGAAGAAAAAGATGGTTAGAAATCAGGGTTCTGTTTCTTCAGTCCTTTTTTACTTTTCCCCTCTCCTTCCACCCCTGCTTTCCGTTTAACCTTCTTTTTATATTTACTCTTACCCTTTTAAAACATGTCCCTGTTTTTTTTCTCTCATACTTTTGTAGACATTTTCCTTCCCCATTTCTTCCCATACCGCTTTGATTTCAACGAAAAAAGAAAGAATAACTTAAAAAGCAGATATGGCTCAACAAATTAAACAAAAGTAACATTTGAAACCCCCGAAATGAAATGCACCAACTTTGGGGGAGAAAAATTGAAATTATTACACTGAAGATCAGGTCCCAAACATATTGTGCTACTATTTCACTCTTTGATGTGAAACAGATGACCCTCACTAGCCTTTATTTACTGTTGTCCATCATCGACCATTCCCTGTAAACCTCAGCACTGATGAAATGGAAAACCCTGTACAAAATGTGATTTAATTATCTCTTTTCTTCTGTGTTTGCATGTCTTGCGTCACCATGCCATTACTGAGATGCTGTCCGACATCATCCACAAAATTACCAGTAATGCTTGAGCTGTTCTCTGAGATATACAATTAACTGTTGTGTTGTTTTTTTAAAGCACTGATATGGGGGGGGGGGGGGGGAACGGACCGAATTCCTTCCCTATACAAAAGGGACTGGAATGTTACGCTTTCAGCTACTTCATAGTCATCTGGCTGCAGAGTTCCTTGTCACCAAGGAAACAACCTTGCGTCGTGACATTCTCCCGAAGAGGAACGCAGCGTCGCTTACCAACGAGTCCTGCTCCTTCTGTATTTTTCATAGCACTCGGCGTGATGTGACATTATTTATTACATTGTCAAAAATGGGCATGGCATCTCTCCATCTGCCTAAGCATCCCGTACCATTCCTCCAGCATGCAACACGTTTCCGTACAGAGAAGGATACTGTCTTTAGAAACAACGGTAATGAATCATAGAATGTTAGAGTTGGAAGGGACCTTGCAGGCCATCTAGTCCAACCCCCTGCACTCTGCAGGAGCACAGCCGAAAGATAGCCCTACAACATACCCGAAAGATCGTCGTCCAGCCTCCGCTCGAAAACGTCCAGCGAAGGAGCACCCACCACCTCCCAAGGCAGTCTGTTCCACTGCTCAACCACTCTGACAGTCAGGAAGTTTCTCCTGATATTTAGCCGGGAACGACTCCCTTGTAACTTCCACCCATTTGATCTAGTCTTGCAATCCGGAGCAAGAGAGAATAGATCCGCTCCATCTTCTACCTGACAGCCCTTCAAATACTTGAAGACTGCAATCATGTCCTCTCTAAACCTTCTCTTTCCCAGGCTAAACATACCCAACTCTTTCAGCCTGAAACAGTGCCCTGTAAAGTTGTTGCCATCAAATGCTATTTTTAGGAGAAGCGACCGAGCTCTTTCTGGTCTTAATGCAGGGGGAAGTTCTTGAATGTCCCCTGTGGAATATCGGATGACTTTCCCCCCCTTTTCCTTCTGCTGCCCTATCGCAAACTACTTTTGGAAATCTATTGAGTTTCAGAGGAATTTGTTGGTGTGGCCCCTTGACAATTGCCAGCCTTAATATTCCTCCTATGGCTAAACGTAGGCTGGTTCTGCATCTGGCATTTGCTCCACATTTTCTCAACACTGTTTTGGATTGCTAGCTATCGGGGGTGTGTGTGTGTGCAGATCTATCCTGGCAGAGGAGGGAGAGCTTGTACCTGAATAAAACTTGGTCTTAAAGGTGCCACTGGTCTGTTTTGGATTGCTAGCTATCGGGGGTGTGTGTGTGTGCAGATCTATCCTGGCAGAGGAGGGAGAGCTTGTACCTGAATAAAACTTGGTCTTAAAGGTGCCACTGGTCTGTTTTGGATTGCTAGCTATCGGGGGTGTGTGTGTGTGCAGATCTATCCTGGCAGAGGAGGGAGAGCTTGTACCTGAATAAAACTTGGTCTTAAAGGTGCCACTGGACTGTTTTGGACCAGGGGGGCTCTTCAACTTACCTGGCTGCTTCTTGCTCTGACTGCTGGGAGCAGGGGGTGGGGCTTGTTGCATGTGCCCCCCCCCCCGGGCTCTTTACTGCCGGAGCTCCGCTCCTCTGCGCTCCTGCAGGAAATGACCCCTGGCCGTACTGATTACAAAGTCACCCCTGAATGGCCATAAAACAGCCATAAATCTATGCAGAAGGCACCATAAAACCTGATAATCAAAGAAAGTGAAAGCGGCATGCAGTGCAGAGGGGAATATCTGTTCCAACGTGGGCTTGCTAAAACAACGGAGGGAAAAGCCAATGCAGAATCGCCGCTAGATCTGTTGTTTGAAACCAGATTTGGAACTTGAAGAGCCAGTTCATGTACTGGTTACAAGATGACTGAGCTGCAAAATCCCCCATATTGACCAATTCACACATTACAAAGTCATCCTGTCCCCCACCCAAGGTGGACTTTCAACAGACATGCTCTGGGAGTTCCACACTGTGAACTGAATTCTTAAGCACGTGTGAACCTGATTTGGATCAGGACCACGGTGTGTTGGGAGAGGGTTGCAAGCCTCCCCAACTCACTGCTCTCCCAACCTGAAGTGGTTCCAGAGGGATGGGTGGAGAAACTGACATGCCTTGATAGAACATGTAATTTCCCCAGCTGGGTAAATAGTGGCTCCCTGCAGCTGTTTCCAGCCTTTGGGCCTGATTCAGACCCCACCCACTCACACCTGGAAATTAAGTTTCCAAGCACATAACTCCCAGAGACTTTGTGGTCACCGCATGGCTAACAGGAGGACTCAGTAATGTGGGAATCGGCCACCCTGTTTTCTTCCACTTGGCATAAAAGAGACAACTGGTGTTTAAAGAATAAATGTTGTCTTTACTAAGTAATATTGAAATTCACAAGCATACACAAAAACTGATACACACTCACAAACACACAAGAACCTTTAGGTACAATTAGAAATAGAAAGCAATCAATATAGAAAATAATAACCTTTGACTAACTGGGTGGTAACACACAAAAGGATGCCAGTTATAATCTGATTCCAGAAGATAGAGTTTGATCTTCTCAATGAAGAATGTGGGAACAAAAGGTCTAGCTAGAGGGATTCTACTTCACACGGATGGAACCAGCCAACACGTGTGGACTCTCTTGTAGGCCTTAGCAAGACAGCACGTGAGAATTACCTTCAGCAGAGCTTAGGTATAAATCCAATCTCTTCTTCTGACACTGGACATGATTCCAACAATAGCAAAGCTAATATTTTAGCACTAATATTTGAGCTTTTGGCAACAGGGAGAGGATAGCGAAGAACAAAGGCTGCTCCTCGCCTTTTATCACCTAGTTTGGGCGTTGGCATCTGTGCCAACCTCAAATCTGTAGTCCGTCCCATTCCCTATACCTATTGGCTATTGGGATGTGACGTATCTATCTTGAGGGAGTGGGCAATATTCAAATCTTAACCTTTAACTCAATGGAAGCATCTGGTCAAGGTGTGAAACTGTTGGTACCCTGGAAACCTTTGAAGTGTAGATGCTTGAGCTGGCTCTCAGGCAGTAAACAGGAAGATCTCTCTTGAGATGCAAACCAGATACGTGTTGTCCAGAGTTCCTTCATGGTGGAGGACCTGTTGTTTCAGAGAGTCCTCTTGGCTGAGTGTAATGGATAATGCCTTCTCCTTCCCAAGGCAGGATGGGTTGTTGTGTGTGTGTCTTCATTAGCATACCAATGCAGGCAGCACACTGGCATAGCAGCTTCCAGATGCGAGCATACCAAAGCAAGCAAACCACACAGCATTTCCAAAACCCATACACAAATGCAAGCACATTCCATACACATAAGCATCAGCACAATACAGATAAAATGCAATTTCAAGCACATTTGCCAACACCACTCACACCTGGAAATTAAGTTTCCAAGCACATAACTCCCAGAGACTTTGTGGTCACCGCATGGCTATCAGGAGGACTCAGTAATGTGGGAATCGGCCACCCTGTTTTCTTCCACTTGGCGGCCACAAGCGAACCCCCTTTTCCAAATTTCAGGCCTCCATCTGCCGTGTGTGGATAATACTGGCATCTCTTAGAATTAAACAAGAGCAGATATGTGAAGAGCTTTATGTTAAAGGTTCTGGCCAGGCGCCAGTTTGGCGTAGTGGTTAGAAGCGTGTACTCTGATGTGGGAGAACTGGGTTTGATTCCCCACTCCTCCATGTGAAGCCAGCTTGGTGCCCTTGAGCAAGCCACAGTCCTCTCAGAGCTGTTCTCTCAGGAGCAGTTCTCAAAGAGCTCTCCCAGCCCCACCTACCTCTCAGGGTGTCTGTTGTGGGGAGAGGGAAAGGAGATTGTAAGCTGCTCTGAGACTCCGAGTGAAGGGCGGGGTATAAATCCAATCTCTTCTTCTGACACTTGACATGATTCCAACAACAGCAAAGCTAATATTTTATCACTAATATTTTAGCTTTTGGCAACAGGGAGAGGACAGGCGAATCTCCCTGGGGAGATTGAATTGGCTATGTTAAAGAAAGTATGCCGAGCATGTGCAAAATTCCTTTTACTCATCCATGAATAACCATCAAGCTCCCCCCCCCCCAACAACAAAAAAACCCTTTGGTATTAGAGCCAAAGGGCTGAAGATGCATGATACTCAGGAAGGTTTAAGGCCCAGAACCATCAGAAATTTTTCATTGCAGTGGGAAAGACTTGAGAGAATATCCAGACAACGTCAGTCCCCATCACCCCTTTCTGCAGAAAAATGAGGCCTTTGAGAAGATCTAAATACATTTCAGTCAAGGATGGGTGATGGTATGCCATACTGCAGATATGTGGCTTTGTCTAATACTCCTACACATGCCTTTTTATGATAAGTACCATGCAATGCTCCCTCTAAGCTGTGGAGTCTCGTGAGCAAAAATTCCACTTTGTGAGCGACGGGCATCCAGGTTGTGAGTGAGCGATTTGGCTGCTGCCTAAATCAGCTTGCTCTGGAGCCCTCCTTCCTGAGCGAAGACAAAAACATGTGAGCCGGAGGCTGAAAAACTGTGAGCTAGCTCACACTAACTCATCTTAGAAGGAACACCATGCATGCCAATTGGAGATGGGAGGCAATAATTGGCATTAGAAAGTGAACTGCATCTTACATGGAGTACAAGGTTGATAGCGAGGTTATTTTTTAGCCTGCTGAATAGCCCATCTCTTCAAAGTTCCAGACTGGGAAACTCCTGGAGATTTGGGGATGGAGCCTGGGGAGGACAGGGGCCTCAGTGGGGTACAATGCCAAAGAGTCCACCTTCCAAAGCATCCATTTCCACCAGGACAACTGATCTCTGTAGTCTGGAGCGGAGGTGTAATTCCAGGGGATCCCCAGGTCCCACCTGGAGGCTGGCATCCCTAAGAGACACAAAATCCCAGTCCCCCCCAAAAATAGTTTTTCTTCCCTCTTCTTAAATTGAGGCTGGCTCAGCCCCTCCCCTCCAGTGGAGTTCCATGGGCACTGATTGGCTGACAATCCCTTGGATTTGCATGAGGCCTAAGTCACAAGGATTGGTTCAGAGCCCTGGAGGAGAGGCGGGACTTCTGAGGATGATTGCCACATGTGCAGACCTCTTTATCCTCTTCTGCCTCCTCACGCTGGTTGTTGCCCCGTTCCACTCTGGTCAAGTGGAAATAGTGAGGTGCCGGAACCCTGAAGGATTCTGGATTGCCCTGAATACTTCCAAATGTTGGAGGTAATTTCATTTGGATTAGTTATCCGATCAGATTTTGATGTCACATCCTGAGTCTCGCATTTAGCTCTCTGTGTATCAATCCCTCCATCTAAATCCTGGCAGACCATATGAACAGAAGGACTTTGTCTATGGTATGCAGCAATGCTCCCTCTAAGCTGCGGAGTCTTGTGAGGAAAAATTCTACTTTGTGAGCTACTGGCATTAAAGCTGTGAGCCAGCGATTTGGCTACTGCATAAATTAGTTTGCTCTGGAGCCATCCTTCCTGAGCTGAGACAAAAACGTGTGAGCCGGAGGCTAAAAAACTGTGAGCTAGCTCACACTAACTCACACTAGAGAGAACACTGGTATGCAGTGATATTTTCCTTTTTCCAGAAAGTCTAATAGTAATATACAGGGCACTGAGTTCCCTTTAAAAAGGTAAAGGTTCCCTTGCTCGAAAGCCAGTCGAATCCGACTCTAGGGTTGCGGTGCTCATCTCCGTTTCAAAGCCGAAGAGCCAGCGCTGTCCGAAGACGTTTCCGTGGTCATGTGGCCGGCATGACTAAACACCAAGGCGCACAGAACGCTGTTACCTTCCCACCAAAGTGGTCCCTATTGATCTACGTGCAATTTCTTGCTTTCGAACTGCTAGGTTGGCAGGAGCTGGAACTAGAGATGGGAGCTCACTTCGTCTTGCGGCACCCGGGTCTCGAACTGCTGAACTACCGACCTTCCACAGCCTGCAGTTCAGCGTCTTAACCACTTGAGCCACCGCAGCTCCCTTTAGACTTTAGTAAAATCAGTTGGATAAATGCACCTTTGCACAGAAATAAAGGTATTCAGAATCTTCCTCAGGTGCATCCAAATGTATTCAAATGGCCGCTGGCCAACAATGTGATGTCACTTCCGGGAAAACCCAGAAGTGGTGTCCTACCTCTCAAGTTCTGGGCACTACCATTTTCCTCTGGTAAGTCACTATGTACCTGAGCCGTCCTGAGGCAATCTCTGCTTCCTAAAACACTTAACGGATGTCACTGCTGCAGTCACCCTTTCCTGTGGAAAGTCCTATTCATGTCTTCATCCTCTTTCCAGGCCTCTGCAAGGATAGTTGCAGCCACAGGTGCCAACATTTTGTTTGAGCCCATGTTATGTTTAAACTCTTGTATGGCCCTTCTCTTCCCCCCCCCTTCCTTTTTGTGCTCTCTTTGACCCGTCTGAAGGCTGCCAGACCTATGATGATCACGTGGCTTCCAACCAAGATGGAGGCAAGTCCAAAAACGTTGTGAACCTCGGAGCCATACGGCAAGGGATGAAGCGCTTTCAGTTTCTCCTAAACTGCTGCGAGCCTGGAACGATACCCGATGCCTCTATCCTGGCAGCTGCCCTGGATCTTGTAAGTTACGACGCCGATTCCCATGAGTACTGTTCGTAGGGCTGCCGGCCTCCAGGTGGGCTACGAAAATGAGGGACCACGGTGTGTACAAGTGAAAACCAAAAAGGAAACACCGTGTATATAAATAACACTAATAAAGTAGCTGCAAAGGATATATTCAAGTGAGATTGTATTTCTTCTATAATTATTTATTTATTTATTAGATTTATACCCTGCCCTCCCCGAAGGCTCAGGGCGGCTAATGACATATTCACATTCCTAATATTCTTAAATGGTCAATGTTCCCTCAAGAGCACTACGATCGGGGAAGCTCCATCTCCTGGGAGTGCCAGGTCCCCAAGAGATTAAGTTTGCCTCTACTAGGGCCAGGGCTTTTTCGGTGGCGGTTCCTACCTGGTGGAATGAGCTCCCAGAGGAGATCCGGGCCCTGCGGGACCTTATGCAGTTCCGCAGGGCCTGCGAGACGGAGCTCTTCCGCCAGGTGTTCGATTAGAAGCCGCCGCCGCCTCTATTCTACCACCAAGGTGGCAAGTCATCGGCTGCCCTATAAGAACGGGGGCAAGCGGGCCCTGTCAGAAGTTTGAGACAGTGTAGTGGGAGACCACGCTACTGAGACAGCTGGCCGCCAAGAAAAAAAAGAAAGGAACCCCGCCGTCGCGGTGCCGTTAGGTAACACCCCCCCCCCGCACAAATTGTGGCCTTAGTTAGGATCGACTACAAATGTAGTCAAAATTGTAAACCGCTCTGAGACCCATTAGGGGTTATGAGCAGTATAGAAATCACATGTAAATAAATAAATAAATAAGTATGTGAGCCGCCCTGAGCCTCTGGGAGGGCGGGATATAAATCAAACTAATAAATAAATAAATAAATAATATTCAAAATATTAACTATACATAAAATGGCAAAAATTTGAACAATTGTATGCACATTCAAATGTTCATGCATAACACTTCTACACAGAAGAAATGTTCACTATGCACAGGAGCACAAGATGAAATTTCAAAAAGCAACCGGCAGTGTTCGTGCAAAGAGAAACATTCTCTGTAAATCAGGAATGCAACACAAGATTTGCAAGAGTGACCAATGTGCCTCTGGATTTAAGCATGTTTTATCAAGTCTTCTTCAGAGTTGCAGATTCAATCTAAAGCAGAATATTGGCTGGAACCCGTGCTTATAAAATCTTTATATAGCTGCCGCAGCCATGCTTTACTATATCAGCAGGCGTATCAGCTTTCTTAAACTTCTCATCCAAGCATAGAGGTTCTGATGAGAATAAGCGTGGGTTCCAGCCAATATTCTGCTTGAAGCTGACTTTGTGACTCTGAAGACTTGATGAAAGCTTAAATCCGGAGGCATGTTGGTCGCTCTTGTGAATCTTGTGTTGCGTTCCTGATAGAAGAAATACAATCACACTTGAATATATCCCTTGAAACTACTTTATTAGTTTTATTTATATACACAGTGTTTCCTTTTTGTTTTTTGCTTGAACCTCCAGGTGGTTCCTGGAGATCTCCCGGAATTACACCTGATCTCCCGATAATACAGATCAGTTCCACTGGAGAAAATGACAGCTTCAGAGGGTGGCATCTATGGTACTATACCCCTCGAGGTCCTTCCTTTCTTCAAACCCCGTCCTTCCTAGGCTCCGCCCCCAAAATCTCCAGGAAGTTTCCAATCTGGGGCTGGAAACTCACAGCCAATAATTCAGTAGTGCATAATCTGGACTATTGTTGTGACATACCCCATTCATCACTTAATAAATATTGTGTATAGGTTTGCCCAGGGCTTTTTTTGTAGAAAAAGCCCAACAGGAATCCATTAGCATAATAGGCCACACCCAACAGCAGAAACTCGTTAGCCTATTAAGCCACACCCCTGATAGCACGGCTGTGGGGAGCCCGGGCAAGCCGGCCCTTGGAGGGAAGGGAAGGCAGTTTAAACTGCCTTCCCTTGGCTTGCCTGGGCGCCCCGCAGCCAGCCCTTGCACAGGCCGGGGAAGGCATGGGGAGGCATTTAAATGCCTCCCTGATCCTTCCAGGGCCCCCCCAGCCTGCCCGTATTAGAGTCGCTGGGGGGTCACTCTCCAGGCCTTCCCTCTGTAGCCACACACGCAGAGGTTTTAGCTGAAGTGGGCATGGCCAACTCTGAAGCTAGCCGGAACTCCGTTCCTGTGCGTTCCTCCCCAAAAATAGCCCTAACCTCCAGGTAGTAGCTGGAAATCTCCTGGGATTACATCTGATTTCCAGGCAGTAGAGATCAATTCACCTGGAGAAAATGGCCACTTTGGAAGGTGGATTCTATGGCATTATAGCCCATTGAAGACCCTCCCGTCCCCAAGCCCCACAGTCCTCAGGCTCCACCCCCCAAATCTCCAGGTATTTCCCAACTTGGAGCTGGCAGCCCTATTTGTGTGTGTGTGTTTGGGGGTGAGAACAAAAAATGCAATAGAATTGCTAAGAAGAATTATGAACAAAGTGTGGTTTATCCTTCTGTGAATATAGATTGGATGTCTTTAAGTCTAATGAACATAGCTCTTGTAATGTTTAGATTTCTTTAAGGCTGTACATTTTACAAGTAGGCCATTCCCTGGGCTGTCCCTCTGCAAATGCCTTATATTCAGTACAATATTCAGAGTTCCAATTGCCATAATTCTGGGGAGAAGTTCAACTGATGTTTTAAATACTAAAAACGAACCCCATCGCTGCCTCTAGTTACTCACTGGGAGAGATAGAAAAAAAACACTTCAAAGCTATTGGGTTTATACCTTATTCATAGAATGGTGATTTACAGATCTGAGGCCTACACGCTCCAAGCCCAGCCCAATTTGCAACTTAATCCGCTGGGTTGGTATCCATCTTGCTTTCCTCTCATCTCATTCACCACTGTAGAATGCCTTTCCTCGTTGGTCTTACAGCATCTGCCATTCAAAGCTGAACTTTGTATTTGAAACCTTTTGCGTTGCATGAGACGTGCGTGATGTGTTTTCATAGGTCCGTAGGCACACACATTTATGTTTCCCTAGCGTACTCAAGTCAATTCAATGAGTCAGCTTCTACTGGATGGTGCCAAAGGAAGCACGAACCCACTCCCTTTGTTTCCACTTGCTACGTGATGCTAGAATTTTTATTTATTTATTTATTATCAAATTTATACCCCGCCCTCCCTGCAAATTGTTTGGGGGCTTACCAAAGTCTCAGGTGGGGACTAGAGATCTTCTGGAATGACAATGGATCTCCGTAGGATTCCTGGTAGGGTTACCAGGTACCCCCTGGCAACCAGCAGGGGGTGGGGGATGAGGGGGCTTAGCAGCAGGAAAACAAGGCCTAGGCCTCTGTCACCATCACCTTGGTGATATCACTTCTGGGGCATATTGGAGGTGATGTCCTCATGTCTCTGGCAACGCAGGGATGCTCTGGTATTTGGGCAAAAACTCTATGGCATAAGTCATTTTTACGATAGAGGTGTTGCCCAAATACCAGAGCATCCCTGCATTGCCAGTGATGTGATGATGTCACTTCTGGTGTGTACTGGAAGTGGCATTGCCAGCAACCCCATTTTACCCCAATTTATGCCTCTCTTTGCTGCTGGTAAGTCCCCTGCCATCTCCCCACTGGTTTCTAGGGGGTACCTGGCAACCCTAGATCTCCAGACAACAGAGATTGGTTTCCCTGGAGAAAACAACTGCTTTGGAGGGTGGACTCTATGCCATTATATCCTGCTGAGGTACTTCTCCACCCCAAACACCACCTTCCCCACACACTCAGTCTCCTGGAATTTCTGAACCTGGAGCTGGCAACCCAAATAGTGTCTGCTAAGCCACTACCAGCCCCACCCTCCATTGGCATCTTTATAATTCCCAACACATTGAAAAGAAAGACAAAAGATTAATTCAGAAATAGCTCAAGCGTGATTCATTTTCATTATGGTGACTTTATGGAATCAGATTCCCCTTGCAAACCATCATTCATGTTCTGGGTTGTCACTCAGGGAGACTAATACAAGAACCGTGAAGGCCAGAGGAGTTTTGGTTGTGATCCCCTTCTGCTAGACATCCCTGTATCTCCATTCAAACCAATGCCCTGCTTTTATGCCATAGGTCAGGGGTCCCCAACCTTTTTGAGCCTGTGGGCATATTTCGAATTCTGACACGGCACGGTGGGTTCAGCAACAAAATGGCTACCACACAATGGCTGCTGTAGGAGGCGGAGCCAGCGATTGCATGATTGCCACCACTTTATTTCAGTAACACAATGCAAATCCTCATGGAATGGTGGCAGCTGCTGCCAAAGCAACATGTAAAAAAAGAATCCACACAGCCAATCAAATCTCCAATGTTCAATCAGAAGCCTTGCTGAGCAAAAGCCCTCCCTGGCCCTGCCTACTTTCTACAACCTCTTGGCAGGCACCAGAAAAGGTGTCAGTGGGCACCACGTTATGAACCCCTACCATAACTGACCTGAACCTTGGGAAGCCTTGCGGGATGATATGAGGGGAGCATGAAGTAAAGTGAAGTTTAGCTTATATATAAACCCAAGGCAATAGGCAAAACAAAACTTTGTACTAAGTAGCATTCCATAGGAAGCACCCATCCTGTGAGAATTCCGCGGCTGTGTTTTTGCTTTGTTTTCTGTTGACGGTGGAAGTGGTAACCTGTGATTCTTTTCAGCTATGCATCGCCTGGCTGACTCATTTCTCCCCATTTGTGATGTGTTTCTCTGTGGTGTGAGTTCATCCTTATCCATTTCTATCACACACCTTCATCTCTCTCTTGCTGCTGCTTCAGATTGCTCAGGGCATCAGGTAAGCTACGGCAGGATATCTGCAGAATACTCTGACATTCGGCATGCATTCGGTTTGCGAACGTCGGCTTGCCAAGCGCCTGCTAATGGTGGGCAAACGCCTGCCACAGATGGTCAGCAGGTGAAAGCAAGCTGGCCGGACAGGGACACAAAGATCATTCACTTATCAGGGATGCTCTAGGCTGATCCTACACTGAGCAGGGGGTTGGACTAGATGGCCTGTACGGCCCCTTCCGACTCTGTGATTCTATGATTCTATCGCTGCTGCACAATAACATCACTTATGGCATTAGCCAGAAGTGTCACCATGACGCTGGGGAGACACTCTAGCACTCGCCACAAAACTCTATCCGTGGCATTTTGGGGCGCGTGCTAGAGCATCAACCTGATGTGATGCTAGTGTGTCCAGGCGACACTGGAATTGACATTGCACAACAATGATGATTGCTCCCCCTGCAGTAAGTACTCACCTACCCTCATCTCCTACCACTTGTCATGCCAGCCCTAGCTGCAAGGTTAAACCTCAGGAGCCTGATGTCTCCTTTTCCTTCCTGCAGGATCCTCTTCCCCCCTGGAATGTTGCGTACTCCACACTGACTTTGCACTCTTTTGGAGAGCCATCCCCACAATATAATAGTCCTGGATCCACCATATACCTCAGCAAAAAGTATATATGTACAGAGAATTTTATTTTTTGCATGTGTTTCAGGGCACTACTGCTTTAAAATTTTCTTGGGAAAACATTCCAGTTTTGGGATGCTTTTTCCTGTACCCTCCATTTTCCAAGATGGCAGATATGGTTATTGTGATATTTAACATTTACATAGGATGCTCATCTTGGTGTCAAACTATATGTTTATGAGATAGATAAAGACAAATACACTATTCAGTTTTCGAGACAGCCATTTTTCCTGTAGCTGCCATTGTGCAAGAGCCAGTTTGGTGTAGTGGTTAAGTGCATGAACTCTAACCTGGGAGAACCAGGTTTGATTCCCCACTCCTCCACTCGCACCTGGCTGGATGACCTCGGGCAAGCCGTAGTTCTGATAAAAGCTATTCTTGAAAAAGAGCAGTTTCTGTCAGAGCTCTCTCAGCCCCACCTACCTCACAGGGTGGTGTCTGTTGTGGGGAGGGGGAAGGGAAAGGAGTTTGTAAGCTGCTCTGAGACTCCTTCAGGTAGTGAAAGGCGGGGTATAAATCCAATCTCTTCTTCTCTTCTTCTTCTTGTAGGATGCTCATATTGGTGTCAACCCGTATGTTTTGGGGGTTGATAAAACCAAATATACTATTCCTTTTGTTATGAAAACAAAATAAAGTATTATTCATCTAGGTTTGTAATATTTTGGGGGAAGGACAACAGTGGGGGGCAACAGTGGGAGGGCTTCTAGTGGACCCCCTGATGGCACCTGATATTTTTGGTCACTGTGTGACAGACAGCGTGTTGGACTGGATGGGCCATTGGCCTGATCCAACATTGGCTTCTCTTATGTTCTTATGTTCTTAAGGATAAATCCAGACAAGCTGTTATTTTTTAATGTTTGTAATGTTGGAACAGAATGTAGCAGTATAATTATCAAGGTGAAAACTCCTTAAAGTACAGATAATTATTCTGCTGCCTTAAATAAAAGTAAAGAAAATATTAGAGTGCTTGTTTGATATTTATCATGATTATATGTTGGTTAAACTCTCATTCTCTAACAAAAGTTGCATTCCTAAAACAAAAAGTATTTTGCTATGCAGCGTTTTTACAGTTAGTTAGACTCTTGAGGAAAAGATCAAGATGGGTAGCTGTGTTAGTCTGTCTTTAGCGGTAGAAAAGAGCAAGAGTCCAGTAGCTCCTTAATGACTAATAAAATATGTGGCAGGGGAGGAGCTTTTGTGAGTCACTGCTCTGAAGAAGTATTTGAAGTAGTGAGCGGTGACTCACGGAAGCTCCTACCCGACCACATATTTTGTTAGTCTTTAAGGTGCTACTGGACTCTTGCTCTTTTCTACTCTTGCAGAAAAGAGTAGTCTAACCTTCTTGCACCTGCATGGATTACATTTGCAGGTTGTAGAGCCACACAATGTCAGTTGTTCCTCTGGTATGGGTCTGAGACATTTGGCTATTATCAAATGCCCATCCACCTCGTCTCAGCCATTGTCCGCAGGGTTCAGCATTGAAAACTGGAATGTCTACCCAAGAAAATTTTAAAGCAGTAGTGTCCTGAAACACACACAAACAATAAAATTCTGTGTGTGTGTGTGTGTGTGTATCTTTTGCCAGCATATATGGCGGATTGAGGACTATAAGAGTCATTGTTGTACAGCAAAACCAGGATGTGGGGAATGGATCCACAACTGGACTTAAGAGGTGATGGTTGAAAAGAGCTGTTCATCAACCATTCCTAAGCATTAATATAATGGAGCTTTATTTTAAAATAACGAGTTTGGGGGATACAGCATGTAAGGCTTAAATATATAAGCATCGAAGATGACCAGTTCTGCTCTTGAGAAAATGTGCAAGGCTTAGAACTTACCTGCATGTGTGGTGGTCTTGTCCCACGACAGATTTTCTGCCAGTCTCTTCTCTTATATGGACAACAGAGTATGACCATAAACCAAACATTGAATTAACACCAGCATTGTTTTTGCTGTACTTCCCGAGGTCACAAGAGAAAACAGTATACAATGTGGGTATTAGCCCTTATGGACAAAGAAGAAAAAAGGGGAAAAAACTGAACCTAAACCTAGAATTCAGAACCTAAAAAGGTTAGTCAAGAATAGAAGAGGGCCAACTCTAAAAATCTAATTATGAAACATAAAAAATATACATGTATTTATTCAATATAAATTAAAATAACAAACAAGGGCCCATTCCTACCTCATATACAAATATAAAAACATACAAGGGCTAATAAGATAGACCTAATGCGTTTCGGCCTTTACAGGCCTTCCTCAGAGGTCTAATACAGACAGAACATGTTGGCTGATATGCAAAAATACACACAATCATACATATATGGAATAAAGACCAGAAACCAATTGTTCCAAAGAAATACAAAAATACAAATGAAGCCTCCAGTGCAATCACATGTCCAGTAGTACTTCTCTCTGGTCAACTGTATATTCTTCTGAGATTGTGTAGCCAAATGTTCCCAATAAAATGTTCCTTAGGTTAAAAGGAGGAAGGCCTGTAAAGGCCGAAACGCATTAGGTCTATCTTATTAGCCCTTGTATGTTTTTATATTTGTATATGAGGTAGGAATGGGCCCTTGTTTGTTATTTTAATTTATGTTGAATAAATACATGTATATTTTTGTATGTTTCATAATTAGATTTTTAGAGTTGGCCCTCTTCTATTCTTGACTAACCTTTTTAGGTTGGGTATTAGCCCTTACAACAGCAGATGGAAACAGACCAGAAATCCTCCTAGAAAGATGTCTATTTCAGATGTAGAAGATTGTTTTGTCAGATTCGGTTCAGTGCTTCCTTTCGGAAATGTATGTGAACTGATTCCGATTTCGCATGGAAGTAAGAGAAAGAGTGACGACTTGATAACATGGGTCTCTTTATTAAACTTATATCAATCTGTATGCATTACAGCCTCGAGTCCCTGTTCAAAAGGGGAGTCCCTGTTTGAAAGGGCTGTGGCTCAGTGTTAGAGCATTTGCTTTGCATGCTGAAGGTCCCAGGTTCAATCCCCAGCATCTCCAGTTAAAAGGACCAGGCAGCAGATGATGTGAAAGACCTCTGCCTGAGACTCTGGAGAGCAGCTGTCCGTCTGACTAGACAATCCTGATTTTGATGGACCAAGGGCCTGATTCGGTATAAGGCAGTTTCATGTGTTCAGTAAATGGACACGTGCACGTCTATGGCTCAGGTCGACCATCTTTTATAAATAAACTTTCATGAGCAAGGAATTGGCCCCAATTATGAGCCTCCATTAACAAAAATAGAATCAGATCCAAACTGTTGTGAAAACTGGAGTTGCACAGACACCATTTGTCTTTGAAACCCTTCTTGAAGGCTCAACGCTCAAAGCAGCTGCCTTGAGAGCCAGTTTGGTGTAGTGGTTAAGTGTGCAGACTCTTATCGGGGAGAACCGGGTTTGATTCCCCACTCCTCCACTTGCACCTGCTGATGTGACCTTGGGTCAGTCACAAGCTCTGGCACAGCTGTTCCCGAAAGAGCAGTTTGTGTCAAAGTTCTCTCAGCCCCACCTACCTCACAGGGTGTCTGTGGTGGGGAGGGGAAGGGAAAGGAGTTTGTAAGCTGCTCTGAGACTCCCTTGGGTAGTGAAGGGCGGGGTATAAATCCAATCTCTTCTTCTTCTTCGTCTTCTTCTTCTTCTTCTTTCCTGCAAATCAAAGGCATTCTATTTGAAAGATTTTGGAAAGTCACTCTTAGTTCATAGCAAATACCAGGTGTCCAGTCCTGTCACCCACAGTGAGCATTAGCCTACCTGAAAATATTAACTAGCTGGAGGTGAATGATTCCATTATCAATAGATTCAGTTAATATTTACTTGTTTCAAGTAAATATTAACTGAATCTATTGATAATGGAATCATTTGGTGCCTGAAGAAGTGAGCAGTGACTCACGAAAGCTCATCCCCTGTCACAAATTTTGTTAGTCTTTAAGGTGCTCCTGGACTCTTGTGTTTTTTTTTAATTACTTGAAACAAGTTTTTTTATGAAATCAGGACACATAATAGGACTTCACAGTTTGTCCTGTGATAAACTGCAATTGGTTTTTTAAAAACATCTCATAGGTACCTTAAAGACATTACCCCAAATCTGATATCATCTCTAGTTCTTATAACCTCCAAGTTGCTTCCTCTTGTCAACTGATAAAATTGCATAATGTGATCTTTAAATTGCCTCATTGAAATTGCCTTGTAAGAAAATGATTGTGCATAGAAATTCTAGTGCCTGTCACATTAACTGGTCATGCTAATTGAAGTTGCGTTGTTTCGCGGTGGCTTGTTTTTAACGCTGCTGACTCATATTCCAGGAGGCACCCGTGGTGGCAAGATCCGCCCTTTTCCTGGAATGTGCACGTTTTGTTCACCGCTGCAACCGTGGCAATTGGCCGGAGTGGATGAAGGGGCACCACGTGAACATCACTAAAAAGGGCCTTTCCCGTGGACGATCCCCGATAGTGGGGAACAAACGAAACCAGAAGTTGCAATGGAATGCAGCCAAGCTCTTTTACCAGTGGGGAGATGTAAGTTTGGGTTCTTCCTTACTCTTAAAAGTATACACTTTTTCAAGTTGAATGTCTGGCCAAAAAAGCATTAGATACGCAATTAGCTGCCCAAGCAAGGGACAGATGAAAGAAAGGAACTAAAAGGTTGCTAATATTGCTACACATAACTTTAGTTCAAAGTACCATTTAAAAAATTTTTAAACTACTTATTTTCATCCTTAAAAACTGTTGGGACCCAGAGGAATATATTCTGGGAGCAGCTGTTTATTAAATAATGGTGCTGGCTTTGACATTTGCAGGGCTCGAAAACCTGTTAACTCTGAATTCTCATATGATGTAGGAATTGAGCTACATGATCATGAGAATTTGGGGGCATAGGCACCGTGGCACCCACCAACACCTTTCTTGGAGCCTGCCAAGGGTTTGTAGAACATGGGGGAGGGGTAGGTGGGGCTTTTGCCCTGCAAGTCTTCTGATTGGTCTTTGGAGATTTGATTGGGTGTGTAGATTCTTAAAAATATTGCTTTGACTGCAGCTGCCACTACATCACAAAGATCTTCACAGTGTGAATGAAGGTAAGCTGCGGCAGCCATTTTGTGGCTGCCTCTGCCTCCTGTGGCAGCCACGTATGGCAGCCATTTTGTCGCTGTGCCCACCAGTCCCCAGGTTCCGGCGGTTGCCAGTCCCTAGGTCCCGGTGGGTTTTCTGGGCTTCTGCCCATTGCCAGCTAGCTGACCAGCGGGGGAAACCCCATCTCCAAACAGGATGTCATGCAGTGACGCTCTGGTTTGAGGGCAAAATTCTATTATTTTAAGCCGGTTTTACCATAGAGTTTTGCCCTCAAAGCCGCATGACATCCCTGACATGACGATGTTACGCCAACAGCTTTATCTACAGCTGAGGCCAACTATATTTTAACATGAGTTCTGACCAGCTATACCAGGGTCGTGTCCGAACCCAGAGTCCTGGTGATATCATTGTGCCGGGGACATCCCAGAATTCCCCCCATGTCACCCTGCTGGCACGACAAAGGGAGTTGGCAACCCTACTGTGTCAGAATTCCAAAGATGCCTGCAGGCGCAAAAAGTTTGGGGATCTCTATGTAACTTGTGTTGAATTCTGATTCTTTAGACTGAAGGACTGCACATTTTAATACCCTTCATTTTCAGGACTGTAGCCAGCATGGGGCCAGCAGATGCTCCAATATTCCTGGAATACTGGCCCCATCTAAGAATTTTTTGAGTTTATTGTCTTTAATTGGTATCATGATGGCTTCTATTCTATTCCAGCATAGAGATTTTTAACATATTGGCTGAAGTAATCATTTTGGCTCTTTCAATCACATTTGCCCATATACACCTAAATAGCTAATTCTGAACATAGCTCCAGAACGTGGATCAAATTATAAACACGGTGGGTCCATGTACAGAGGAGGGGGATTCTTTTGTACAAACCTGGGAGAGACCCAAGTCTGAGGGGAAATCTTAAAAGAAAAAGGGGTGGGGATGGGAATTAAAAAAAAAATGTTGAGGCCAATCTCAGCCTCCATTTTGGGATAGCCTAGTAAGTCCCCTACAAATGCTGCAGTATACAGCAGGAGCTGGAGTGAGGAAAGGGAGACACAGAGGGGAGGGCCCACATGCAGGGGGCACCTTTCGCTATTAGTATATAGATTGTCATGAATGGGTGTAGCAAGGAGGCGAAGAGTGTGTCCCCCCAAAAACCTCCGTATATAGGGAGAGAGGTGGCTTCCCCTCTCGCTGTAGAGTGCTTCTCTAGAGCACCCATAATCGGAGGCAACCCTTTCAACTTTTCGTTTTAGGTACAGAAGAAGATGCAGGGAAATAGTATTATGCGAGTTAGAATGAACTGTAGGTTTTGAGTGGGATTATGAGTAATTTATAAGTTACGGAAGGAAGGAAGGAAGGAAGGAAGGAAGGAAGGAAGGAAGGAAGGAAGGAAGGAAGGAAGGAAGGAAGGAAGGAAGGAAGGAACAATAAGGGGAGAAGGAGGAGGAACTGGCAGGAACAGGTCAAGTGAAGGAGGAGGTGGCATCACAGTACCCCCACTCAGAAGCACAGCAGGGGAAGAAAGGCTTACCGCAGAAAGCCCATCCTGGGTGCTTCGTGGTTCAGCTCTCTTACCCCCACCGTCAGCCTGCTGGGGGGGGAGGGGAGTAACATGGTCCAACCTCACATGTAGGTTGTCAACCTCCAGTTGAGGCCTGGAGATCTCCCAGAATTACAACTGAGCTCCAGGCCCCCAAGATCAGTCCCCCTGGAGAAAACGGCTTGCTTTGGAGGGTGGACTCTCTGGCAGGGCTCTTTTTGTAGCAGGAGCTCCTTTGCATATTAGGCCACACCCCCTAATGTAGTCAATCCTCCAAGAGCTTACAGAGCTCTTCTTACAGGGGCTACTGTAAGCTCTTGGAGGATTGGCTACATTAGGGGTGTGTCGCTTAATATGCAAATGAGTACCTGCTCCTCTTACCGAACCCGAATCTAAATCTGAACAGATTTCCCAGCTTGGAGTGGGCAGTTCATCAGTGGCAAGAGACTTGGAGCAGAGGATGCCCAGGACGGGATGTCTACTGCAAGAGGGGGAGAGGGGGAGACAGGGGAGACAGGGCTGGGAAGGGAGCAGGAAGTGGGGAGGACGAGGAAGAAAGGGAGAAGGGAGCAGGGAGAGAGAGTTTGTTATAACATTATGGGTGAACAAAGGTCCTTCCCGCATCTGCCTGCCACTCCGGATTTTCTCAGTGTTGGAGTCGAGGCAATTTTAAGTCCACGGCAAAGCAGCATCCAAATAACCCGGGGCAACAGCAGGCTGAAACCGGGCTGACCACTGAAGGGGGGTAACGCAATGCAGATTGGGGGGGGACCCAGAATCAAAAGAAGGTTGAACTTGATTTTGGTGCAGAATGGGGAGGGGGGGACTGGATTAAAATGAAGGTTGAATTAGATTTTAGTGCGGAATCGCTTGGAGGACACCGAGGTGAACGTGGGATTAAAAGGAGAGTGCAGAAAGGGCCAAATTTTGAGTCCAGTTTTATTCAAGGTCTAAGCTTTGATGTGCATGCACACTTCTTCAGATACAATGAAATGGAACTTACCAGTCCATACATATAGGTAGAGGGTGAGCAGCAAATTAGCATACAGTGTAATAAATGGTGTTTAACAGACGCAAGGACCAAACTGGAATAACAGGCTTAGTTTATACGGCTACCATTTGTTTGAGTTTAATTGTGGGGGGGGGAACTTAGTGAAGGATATCAACATAGTAGAATTGGAGAAAGATGGGTCAGATCTACCTTTCTCAACATGGCTACCCACCTGACTCTAACATCGTGGGTGGAGTTCTTCATCGGAGCTTGCCAGCGCCCTGGCATAGGCCTGCCGCTGCCCTAGGATGCTTTTGTAACACTTCTTGATTTTTCTGCTTTGGTTTCTGCTGGCAGGTCATCGGCGCCCGCCTTAACGAGCTCTGCCACTGCGAAAGTGAGAGCCCGGCCAATTTGCTGGGGCTTATTTACGACGAGGAGACCAAGCGGAGGCTGAGGAAAGAGGATGAGGAAGAAGACTTTTTAGATGACAGTAAGGAGACTCCCTTTACTACAAGAACCCCCGCTTGTAAGAATCTCTGCTTTAGGAACACTTAATTCTTTTATTTTTTATTTCTCTCTCTTTCATTCCCTTCCCACCCTGCTGTATTCTGCACTTATCTCCCTTGCTTCTCTTTCTTTTCCTGGATGTAATGCATTGTGCATTGGTTAAAAGAAAAAAAGTCGGTGACAACTTCCTAGAAGGAATAAGATCCGTCAACCAATCAAATGCAATACAATTTACTATTTGAACTGGGCCCAGGATAATTCTTGTCTTTGAAAATAGTTGTTCGGACAGCTCGTGGTTCTGGATAGGGACACCCTTCCCCTATTGGGGATGCCCTATTGGCATCTAGTGGTCACATTCAGTGAGTTCCAGGATGCCTGGACTGCAAGCAGAGAGAGAGAAACATATATCTGAATTTTCTCAGTGATAAAACACATGCCTTGCATGGGTACAGTCTAAGCAGTTCAGTCCTGGGAATCTTTAACTGGGAAAGGTCCCCCTGGTAAAGGGCTGCCTGTCCAGGAAACTGAAGAGATACTGTTTATCAGAATAGAAACCACTAGACAAGATGGTCCAGTAACAGTGAACATGAGACCATAAGATCCCTACTGGATCAGACCCTGTGACCCATCTAGTGCAGCCTCCTGTCTCACATATTGGCCAACCAGTTCCTCTTGAGGGCCAACAACAGGGCACAGAGGCTGAGGCCTTCCTAAGAACATCAGAAGAGCCCTGATGGATCAGACCAGTGGTCCATCTAGTCCAGCATCCTGTCTCACACAGTGGTCAGTCGGTTCCTCTGGAGGGCCAACAACAGGGCATAGAGTCCGAGGGCTTCCTGAGAACACAAGAAGAGCCCTGCTGGATCAGACCAGTGGTCCATCTATTCCAGCATCCCGTCTCACACAGTGACCAACCAGTTCCACTGGATGGCCAACAACAGGGCATAGAGGCCGAGGCCTTCCTATGAACATAAGCAGAGCCCTGCTGGATCAGACCAGTGGTCCATCTATTCCAGCATTGTGTCTCACACAGTGGCCAACCAGTTCCTCTGAATGGCCAACAACAGAGCATAGAGGCCGAGGCCTTCCTAAGAACATAAGCAGAGCCCTGCTGGATCAGACCAGAGGTCCATCTATTCCAGCATCGTGTCTCACGCAGTGGCCAACCAGTTCCTCTGAATGGCCAACAACAGGGCACAGAGGCTGAGGCCTTTCCCCAATGTTGCCTCCTGATACTGGTGTTCAGAGGTTTACTGCTTCTGAATGTGGAGGTTCTCTTGAGTCACCACGGCTAGCAGACACTGATGAACCTGTCTTCCACTGATAGACTTATACTCCACTGCAATTGTAAGGAGGTTCAACCCTTCTAAGATTTCAGTGAACAAATTGGTGTACCTCTGCTTAGGACTATACTGTAAGGCAACTCCAAATGTTTGCCTGTTTCTGCTTGTAGATCTCCTTCACTGGCTCAAGATGAATATAAATATATTGATTGATAACTATCAATTCTTTCTGTTGGGAAGATGTCTTGTTAGGTTGTTTTGGATCTCCTCCTTTCAGAAACTCTGGTCGCGGGCTCCTTTCTGGATCATGGCCCTTGGGTGTACTTAAAAACTGATTGTTGTGCATAGTTAGTTAAAAAGATATTAGCAAGGCACAAAGGCCATGATCCAGGAAGGAGCCCACCAGAATTGCCCTCTGCAGTTGGCCCCCCTCAAGTAGATTGGTACAACCACAGCCATTAGAAGGCTGGTTGTAATAAACTGGGGTATCTTCATGACAATGCAGTGAGAATCATTGAGTTCGAAGGGACCTCCAGTGTCACCTAGTCCAATAAGAATTAGTCTGATAATAATAATGATTAATGAATAGCACGGGATGACTTGAATGGCCTTGACCCAGATAGCCCAGGCTAGCTTGGTCTCATCCAACCTCGGAAGCTAAGCAGGGCCAGCCCTGGTTAGTACTTGGATGGGAGACCGCCAAGGAAGCCCAGGGTTGCTATGCAGAGGAAGGCAATGGCAAGCCCCCTCTGAACATCTTTTGCCTTGAAAACCTTACGGGGTCGCTATAAATCAGCCGTGACTTGACGACAAAATGAAGTATTCCCCTTCCCCGTGATTCTTGCCAGCTGCCAGTTTTCTGGAGACTGTTATTTATAGTCCTGCCCTGACCTGAATGGCCCAAGCTAGCCTGTTCTTGTCAGATCTTGGAAGCTAATCAGGGCCAGCCCTAGTTAGTACTTGGATGGGGGGCCGCAAAGGAAGCCCAGGGTCACTGTGCAGAGGGAGGCAATGGCCAACCACCTCTGAACACCTTTTGCTTTGAGAACCGCAAGGGGCGCCGGAAGCCAGCTGTGACTTAACAGCAAAATCAATAAGACTCTCGCCCTGACCTGGATAGCTCTAGCTAGCAGATCTTGCCAGATTTCAGGCACTAAGGAGGGTCAGCCCTGGTTAGGACTTCAGTGGGAGACCTCCTAAGAAGTCCGGGGTTGGTATGCAGAGTCGGGCAATGGCAAACCACCCTTATTGGTCTCGTGCCTTGTAAGCCTTACAAAGTCACCATAAGTCAGCTGCAACTTGACAGCGCTTTCCACTTTCACCCATACAGACAATGTCTGTTCATCTTTTAAAAAACAAAACCCTCCTGAATGGAACCTTAAGGACAGGAACCACATAAACTGTGGTAACCCTGCAGAAAAGCTGTTTAGTAAGATATACGCATCAAAATGGGAAATGAGAATTGCATCTAGTGGGAAACAGGTTTTTCTAAAACATGGAAAACTGTATTCTAGAATACCACGTACGAAGCATTAGCACCACCGTATGGAATGGCAAAATGCCTGGCTCCCATGCCAATAATGAAATTAGCAAAACGAGGTCACTGAGAGAGAAGATAAGGATTCTTCGTGAACTCGGGGGACTCTCCCCGCCCCTGGTATTTGGGGAAATGTGGGTTTGCAAATTAGCCAAAGCAAAACGATTTTTAAAAACCTGAAATGGTTTGAATATGATCTGGGGGGAAAGAGAACAGTTGAGAGTAAGTGAAAGAGAAGGTCCGGCAACAGGGCATAGAGGCCCAGGCCTTCCCTGGTCCGCTTCAGCTCCCAAAAGTTTATAGGATCCTGGAATTCAAAGTATTCCCCTTCCCAATGACCCTTGTCAGCCACTGATTTTGTAGAGACTGTTACTGAGAGTCCTGCCCTGGCCTGAATGGGCCAGGCCTGCCTGTTCTTGTCAGATCTCGGAAGCTAAGCAGGGTCATCCCCAGTGAGAACTTGGGTGGGAGACCACCAAGGAAGCCCTGGGTTGCTCCGCAGAGGCAGGCAATGGCAAACCGCCTCTGAATGTCTCTTGCCTTGAAAACCCCACCAGGGGTCACCATAAATCAGCTGACAGCACTTGGCAGCACCACTGCCGTTATGTATCCAGACGAGAGGACCACAGTTTCACAGATTTTTCCCCCAAAAAAGAAAATCTACGTGGCTGTGTGGAACTCGACGAGGTGCAAACAAACCAAGCCACATCCCATCCTGATACAGAGTGCAGGCTACACAAGTGATCAATACCGTATCCCCTCCAAATATCATCTCTGTGTGTGTATGTGTGTATGTATGTATGTACGTACGTGTGTCCACCGCAATGTACTGACGTGTATGTACCGCCGTTTCCCGCTGAACGTGTAATGCGCCACGAGAACTGCTTGTCGGCTTGTCGAGTTCATTCTACTGTGATAACGTTTGTGAAGAAAGCTTAACTGGAAGCTAGGAAAGGACTGGAGGAGATTGTCAGAAAAGAGCTGGGTGCTCACAGTATGTGGTTAGGTAGGCCAGAAGATGCCAGCTCCCTTCTTACTCAGAATTTAGCACAGCAATCCATTGCATGCCTACTTAAAAATCAAGTCCCACTGTGCTCAGCGGGATTGCACCTGGAAAACTGGAAGGAACATCTTCACGCACGACTTACAAAATTCGTTCCCATCCTCTTTACAATGTGCAAAACTTCGTGCGGCTGGGGAAGACTGGTTGTTCGACTGCTTCTGCGTGAACTACGGAAGTGGGAACTAGAGTCCCAAGCAACGCTCCCACTAAGCTGAGGAGTCTCGTGAGCAAAAATTCTACTTTGTGAGCTACTGGGATTAAAGTTGTGAGCGAGCCATTTGGCTACTGCATCAATTCGTTTGCTCTGGAGCCATCCCTTCCTGAGCGAAGACAAAAATGGGTGAGCCGGAAGCTAAAAAACTGTGAGCTAGCTCACGCTAACTCAGCTTAGAGGGAACACTGGTCCCGAGGGGTAGTAAGGCAGCCAGCCTCCAAGTGGGGCCTGGGCATCTGCAGGAGTTACAAGTGATCTCTGGACTACAGGTTTCGATTCACCCATAGAAAATGGGAACTCTGGAGGGCGAGCCCTCTAGCAGTATATCCTGCTGAGGTCTCTCCCATCCCCAAACCCTGTTCTCCTCAGGCTTTACCTCTAAATCTCCAGGAATTACCCATCCTGGAGTTGGCAACCTAGATATGGGACTTTGGAATGTCAGGTTGCCAGACCCCCCCTGGTGGAGGCAGGGGTCCTCTGCTGCAAAGGCCCCACTGCTCCACCACTGTTCAGCTGTTCGTGGGGGGGGGAGAATTACCCCCCAAAGGAGGGAGATCCAGCCAATGAGCAGCAATGTGCCTACATCACTGCCCACGTGACCTGGAAGTGACGTCATCCTGTTGGGGTGACACTCTAGTATGTGGATAAGAAATCTATGGTAGAAGCCAAATTTACCATATAGCTTTTGCCCAGATATCAGAGCGCCACCCCCAATGGCCTTGACATGATGTCATCACTTTCAGGTCATGTGGGCAGTGACTGAAGCATGTAGGCTGGATCTCCGTCCTGCTCCCGGTAAGTTCCCCCTGTCTCCCGCCAGTTGCCAGGAGGGTCCTGGCAACCTTATTGGAATTTGACACCCATGCACACACATACACACACTTGAACACACACACACACACACACACACTGCTTCAGTTACTTTTAATTCTCTCTTCCCACAGGGCCAAAGTTCAGTTGTTCCTGAACTGGCAGTAATTAATTTATACCATGGTCTGAGAGACAAAATTCCATAATAAATATTTATTTTCTTTTGAGCATAATACAAACATAATCATGGCACAGTATTAAAAAATCATGTTACTAACTGCCATTTGAGGAACTTAGTGATGCAAAGGATAGAAGTATTAATCTTATTCAATCAATCAAGTTTATTACGGTCATAGACCAGTATAATAGAAGACAAGTAAATACAGTTAAGGGAGCAGTGAAATTATAAAATATAATGGCATCTAAAATTATAAATAAGGATCTAAAAACTTTAAAATACAGAAATAATAGAATCAAAATTATGATCAAAAGTTAGGTTTAGGCCTATCTGTACTTTATCTCTTTCCTAGTTTGATATGCCAACCAACCAAATTTGGCAACCATCCTAGTCAGCTTTTGATTATCTCCTGCCAGCATAACTGACAAAAGTATCCTTCTATTACGACCTGGAAAGGAGTTAACTATAGGCTTGATCAAAATTAATCTTATTCTAGAATCTTGAATCTTACTACCAGTCGCAATTCGGCTAGCAGGTTAACCTTGTCCCAGGTTTCAGGAGCGAGGCATTAGTCTTGTTTTACCTGACCTCCCTTGAGCTCATAGTCTAATTTTTACATTATATTCTTTATTGCCTTGCAAAAACCATTAGACCAAGAGAGTGCTTTTGGTCTATTTTAGACCATCAGTCTTTGAGCTTCAGACATAAGACAATATTTCTCAGTTCAACCAAAAACTAATAACTGCATTATTCTCCTGCTCAATCCCTTAATATTGTTTTAGATGAATCCCCCACCCCCAACCATTGGTCTGCTTAGATTAAATTTATTTCACTTGTTGCAGACTTGTGATTCTTCCTCTGTTAAGGTCAGTGCCCATGGGCTTTGATAACTTCCTCTGGTTACAGGTTTCCATGCTTTACTTACAAATACTCCCAGAAGAGGTCAAGGGGGCTTCTACCTTCCAGGATTTCTGGAAAGGCTGCAAAACAGAATTAAATCAGAGAGCTTTGGTGGGCAGCCCGAACATGGGCAAAAGTGGGGCATAAATTGGGGTCCCACTATGGCCTCCCATTGGCTGCCCTAGTCGGGCAGCAGTGGGAGAAGAAACTAAAAAATCAGTGCTGACATCTGTGCCTCTCCATCAGTTGCAGGGAAAACCCAGAGGGTAGCTCTAGGAATCTCTGGAAATGGGTCCCAGTGATTCCTAGAATACCCTACATTACTTCTGGGTTTCCCCTGGAAGTGATGTAGTGGCACGGGCAATGTTGCCGCTACCCCCCTAAGTTCCTGCCCCCAATCTTCCTGCTGTGTCTGGTGACCTGAGCCATAATAAGATGTTCTTACATGGATGTTTTAATGTGGTTTAATGTATTTTATATTTGTTGTTTCAATGTTTAATTGTTTTTATCCAATTGTTTTTTATATTTCCACCCTTTCGTCACTTGCCTTGAGTCCCGGGTTTCATGGGAGAAAGGCGGATATATAAATATTTTGAATGCATTAATTAACAGAGACGTGAGAGGATATTGATGTAATCAACAGGAGCAGGAAAGGAATGAGGTGGTCTGTTAAACCCACCTCATAAGGTGGGTTTGGATCATAAGTTCTTCATAATGTGCTCTGTCTTATTGAATACACGGAGTTTCTCTGCATTGAACTGCATGTGGCTGAATCATCCCTTCCTTGGAAGAATTGCGGCTTTGAGAGGGTGGGAAGGAAAGATGTGGCCCTGTGGTGTCGTGTCTTCTAAATGTGTGGAGAAGGGGATCAGCCTAACTATTATTTCCGTCGTCCTCCATTTTCTTTATTTACAAAATTAGTATCTCACCTTTCTGCCCTTCCAAGGGCCACCAAGGCAGCTAACAATTTAAAACATACACGATAAAAATCACATCTGGAAACCATTAAAATCAACCCTCCCAAACACACATCATTAAAACAATTAAAAACAGCATTCAAACAAAGTTAAAATACATACAAAATAGAAAAAACATTGGTTAGGAAGGAGGGCTCACCGAGGGGATGCCAACCAAAACAAAAAAAAGGTCTTCACCTGCTGGAGGAAGATGACAAAAGAAGGGGAGTGACAAAACTACTTGGGGAGGGAGTTCCAAAGTTTTGGTGCCACCCCCAAAAAGGCCCTTTCCTGGGTTTCTGCCTCCTTAATCTCAGAAGGCAGGGGCACTCAAAGCAGGGCCTCCAAAGATAATTGAAGGGGTCTGGCAGGTTCATAAGGGAGTAGGCAGTCCTTCACTGTTCATTTTCACTGTTGAATCAGATAAATTATGGTACTGTGGATACCTGACCCAGATTTACTTGTGTCGTGGAGAAGGTCCACAGAAGTTAGAGTCACTGGCCACTTGCACCTCCGTGAAAGTTCTGTTTGGTGCTCGGGAGGTTGGGTACCAAAGTAAAGTGATGGAGCAATAGTCCATCAGGGTTATTCTTGCTACGCTCCAGTGCTAGAAGAACAGCTCACCTAAGTACGGTGAAGTTTTGGCATGATTTCTTGGACAGAGGTTGGTTGAGCTGCTGGCATGTCACAGAATGCTCACAAACATTCTGCCTGCCCATGGAATCCCACTGGTAGCAACAGAATACTTGTGCAGATTTTGCGGTGGCGGAGAAAGCAGTCCATTTGGCTGGGGAGTAAAATAGGAGCAACTGCACGGGGGCTGCCTGAATGCTGGAAAGGTGAGTGTAAAGAGATCTCTGGAAGTAGTAAAGCCCAGGTGTGTACCCTGAAGCAATGGGGGGCACACAAGTGACCCAAAAAAAATGTGGGAAAGCCCCTTGTCCTGTGATGGGAAATCCTCTATCCTTCTTGGGAAAGTGAATGATTTGGACCTAAATGCTGAGCGAACAGGTTCTAGGGTATGTAGCACTTTGTAAGACAATTAAGTTCTGAGACCTTAGGATCCCATCTGTTGTGGGAGAAGAAGGTACTACAGAGAATGGGATCAGATAATAGTGACATAGAAAACAAACAGAAGAATAGCATAAAGGGACCACCGTGTTTCATACGGAGCTTGCTTTGTGTACCATGTGTGACGTCCATTTGTTCTTAGTTCCAGATTTTTTTAAATGGAGACTTTTCCCTTAACAAATATATATGTATGTATATATCACTTCTCAGGTACTGTGAACCCCACCAAATGTTGTTGTCCTTTTGCCCTGAAGATGGCTGCTTGCCAGCTTCTCCTGGAAATCACCACGTTCCTCCGGGAGACTTTTCCTTACATGCCCAGGCCACGTACCGAACCTCTTGTGGTAAGCAAGCAACCAAAAATTTAACTTGCAGACAGTTTAGAAAGGGTGAAGAAATAAAAATGGGCAAGTAAAGTTTGGCAGATCGTCTGAGCATCTGAAGAAGTGTATTAATGGGCACAGGATCAGAGACGGAGAGATTAACACAGGCTTTTTGGTGGCTAGAGCGAGGTGGTGGACTGGGCCGTCAAGTCATAAGAACATAAGAAGAGCCCTGCTGGATCAGACCAGTGGTCCATCTAGCCCAGCATCCAGTCTCACACAGAGGCCCACCAGTTCCTCTGGAGGGCCAACAACATGGCAGAGAGGCAGAGGCTTTCCTAACAACTTGAGAAGAGCCCTGCTGGATCAGACTAGTGGTCCATCTAGTCCAGAATCCTGTCTCACACAGTGGCCAACCAGTTCCTCTGCCTGTCTCACACAGCAGCCAATCAGTTCTTCTGAATGGCCAACAACAGGGCATAGAGGCTGAGGCCTTTCTCTAATAAGAACATAAGAAGAGCCCTGCTGGATCAGACCAGTGGTCCGTCTAGTCCAGCATCCTGTCTCACACAGTGGCCAACCAGTTCCTCTGGAGGGCCAACAACCGGGCATAGAGGCCGCGGCCTGTTTTGTTCCCTGCCCTGGTCATGTGGAACAGGGTACGGTCTAGAGCTGTCTCATTTTTATTTTCACAACAACCTTGTGAAGAAGAAATGGAGCAAGAAGGTTAGTTAGAGGCACAACGATAGAGGAGATAGACCAGATACAGACTGGAGAATAGTACGGCAGGATAAACATGAAATTGGAATACAGTGATTATTAAAATATAACTGCTAAGCAGTGAGTGGTCAAACAAGATTCAAATGAACGATATGTAAAATTTCTGTTTGAATTTCAGTATGGCAAGTGGCGACTGGCAATTCTCTCTCTTTTTTTTAAAGAACTATTTTTGAAAAACAGTGGGGGTACAGAAAAGAAAAGGAAAAAAGGAAAAAAATAGGTTATACAATATAATTGCCTTTGTCAAAGACAATCATATAGCACATAATACATAGGACCAAGAATAATTTCCCTTTCATCCCCTTCATTATAATTTTTTGATTAATTTTTCTCTCTCAAGAAAGAGTGGGTTACAGAGGGGCAGAGCGGGTAGGAGAAAATATGGATTCATCAAATTGATCAAATATTATGGGTTGTTACATACAACAAGTAAAATCAATTGTATTAGTAAAAACACATGTTTTAAGTAGAGAAGACTTTTAAAGATATTATCTATAAAATACAATCATTCTTATATCTGTGGGGTACAACTGTAGTCATCATTTAACTTTGAAGTTTGGTAACTAATCTATTTTGACTACACTGGTTTCATCATACTATGTATTCAACATAACATATTTTTGCCACTTCTACATATTCATTAGAACCTTTATTAGATAAGTAGTATATCATGGTGTAAAAGAAAGTCTATATATCATATAGAGAACTCATTTATATTTGGGAAATTACATTTAGAACAGATTTTAATTCTATTTCTATGTCATTACCATACATTTGTATATGATATTTTCTCACTTTAAGTTTGTCTCCTGCTAGCATAATACACATAATACACACTCCATCTTTCCTCATACTTTGTAATAGATCTGTTTCTCAAATAGGTTGTTAATTTTTCCATTACTGCATATTCAGCAAGTTTATTTTCCCATTCTTCTAAATGTGGACAGACGTCTCCTTTCTGTTTTGCTGCATAGATAGTTATAGCTGCTGCCATCATGTATTTGAATAGTTCTTCTAAAATTTTAGATAATTTTTTAGGCAGAATACCTAATAGCATGCTCTTGGCTTCCATTAGGAATTTAATTTTTTCTACATTTTTCAGTGTATTTTATGAGTCCACCACATATGAAAGAAGGGTCCATCTATGCCTTGACATTTCCAGCATTCTTTGTAGTTTTTATGTGCTTTCTCACAGTCCTTTGGATTTATATACCATCTGAAAAACATTTTGTACCAATTTTCTCTTAGTGTCTGGCTGACTGTAAATTTGATATCTTTTCCCTAGAGTTGTTCCCATAGTCGTTCCCATTGTTGCATAGATATCTGTCCTTTAAGGTTCCACTTCCACTTAATCATACATTTTTTCACTTGTTCATCTTCCGTTTCTAGCTGAAGTAAAATATTATATATCCATCGTAGTAAATGCTCTTATGTATCCATCGTAGTAAACGCATGATGATAAACACTCAGGAGAAAAACAAGTCTTGGTGAGATATTAAATATGAAGGTGTAAACATTCAATGGCTGATATTATCAGTTAGTCTCAAGACAAAAGGAGATAATGAGTATTGAAGGTGGAGTTCTAAGAGGTGCGACTGAATTTGAGCAGCTGATCATAAAACAAAAAAGGCATTTACTGCAACTGGCAATTTTCCAGAGTCCCAAAATTGTTTTTAAAATCCGGGATTCATTAAAATACAGATACTAAAGGAGAAAGATGGAACATAAATGGAACTTTCCCTCTTGTGCTTGTAAATTCTTTGTTTGCCTGATGATTAATTCAGTTGAGGACTGGTTTAGAAAGACAGAATAATACCAGATGCACCACGGTAATTACATTTAGAATCAAAAACTTTGACTGTAATTAGGGCCAGCGGGAAGCAAAGCTTTTATTGTCAACTAAATATTAAGCTGATTAAAAGTCTGACAGATTTAAGATCCTGCTGTTTGCAAGACAGGTGGGGTGAAAAAGCCTTTGAATGTTAAACCAGCAACAGTGTAACATATAATTACTATTTTTGACACGTAGAGTTGGATCCAATGTAACATAAGACCTACTTTCATAAGGGATTTTTTTTTCAAAACGGAACTTCTGTGCCTTGGTCTTTCTTGCCCAAAGGACTTTAAGCAGTGAGCAAGTTTTGCTGCTTTCTCCTCCCCCTCTCACCCCGCTTTGAGAGCAAAGACATCGATAATCCATCTTTTCTTCCTCTTGGTCCTTGCGCACAGAAGAGATGGTTAGATACCTGGAAGGTGGTGTGAGCTCTGCCTTTGGATGAGCTATGGTGGCCCATCACTAAGGTGGGTTTCTGAGCATATTTAAAGGGCAGTTTTAGAAGGTAGCCCAGTTGGTCGGCAGTAGAACAGCTAGATTCAAGTCAAGCAGCACCTTAGAGGCTAACAAGATTTTCGGGGTATGAGCTTTGGAGAATCAGAGCTCCCCCTGTCAGATTTCTGGTATCAGATGGTATCTGATGAATCATGGGATCATAGAGTTGGAAGGGACCTTTAGGGTCATCTAGTCCAACCCCCTGCACAATGCAGGAAATTCACAAATACCTCCCTCCCACACATACACACCAGTGAGTTGTGCTCCATACCCAGAAGCTGGCAAAAAAAAAAAAAAAAAAAACACCTTCCAGGATCCCTGGACAAACTGGCCTGGAGAAAATTGCTTCCTTTTCCCCCAAACCCAAAAGCTGAAAAAAAAAAAAAAAAAAAAAACACCTTCCAGGATCCCTGGACAAACTGGCCTGGAGAAAATTGCTTCCTGACTCTAAAGTGGTGATCAGCATTTCCCTGAGTGTGTAAGAAAGGGCCACAAGAACTAAGCACTGATGCAAACCTCCCTGCCCTCCCTCTCTTGAAGGGAGCTTTGACCCTCGAAAGATCATACTCCGAAAAACTTGTTGGCTAAAAAGGCTGTGATCGCATGGGCAGTTTGCCCCGACACAGTCACTCCTCCACCCTGGATCAAATCAGCATGATCAGACGGACACATCTGGCACCCGACAGTCATCCATACTCACCTCGTGGTAGAACGACTCCCCGTCAGCTTAAAAAGCTACCGGGGAAATGGAGCTTTGACCCTCGAAAGATCATACTCCCAAAATCTTGTTGGCCTCTAAAGCTGTGATCGCATGGGCAGTTTGCCCCAACACAGTCAATCCTCCACCCTGGATCAAATCAGCATGATCAGACGGACACATCTGGCACCCGACAGTCATCCATACTCACCTCGTGGTAGAACGACTCCCCGTCAGCTTAAAAAGCTACCGGGGAAATCCGGTGGTTTCCTGGGTGAGGTGCTTCCATGACAGCTTTTTCGGCATCTGATCGGCCGGGCGCGCCACGGAAGTGCAGGAGGCATGTGAACGGCCCTCCCGTTTCTGGCATGGCAGTATGCCGTTCTCAGCAACCCAATCAATCAGAGGGGTGCATCAGCCATGGCTCCGTGCTGGTGGTGTGGTAGCGATGTGAAATGGCTTTCATGGGCTGGCTACCCAATGCAGCTGGTGTTGTGGGACCGGTGTGAGTGCTGTGAAGCGCACCTAACTCCAGCGGCTTTTTTCTCAGTGGGATACTACCGCGGCAACCTGCCTGTGTGGACACAACTTAAGATGTTACTGGACTTGGTAGCATCTCAATAGCATCTTGGCCTCTGAGATGCTACCAGACATCTTAGAGGGAACTCAGCCTCTTAAGATGCTACCAGACTCGAATGAAGCTGTTTTAAAGGGCAGCAAATTGTCAATTATTTTTTTGGGGGGGTTGGTTTATTTATTTGTGGATAGTGCAAAACTTTTCCTTGTTCAACACTGTCTAATTAAATTAGTGTTGATTTTTAGTCAGCAGGGTAACTCTTGGTTTTTTATATGCAACTTTTAGCACAGTGAAAAACAAAATTCTTCAAAATTAAAACACTCTATTCATTTATACTTTAAATTTATGGACTGCCCAATCCTTGTGTGCTCAGGGCTCTGGGCAATGCATAACAGAAGTTAAAAACATCAAACATTAGATTATTAAAATTAATAAATAAGTCACTCATTACAGCTTCTAAATAACACCTGCCATTCCAGTTCAACACGACTGACTCAACTGGTGGGGACTTTAATCACAAATCCTTTTATATGTTTGTTCCGCATTATTTTTAGCCTCAGCCTTTTAAAACTGTACCTTGATAGTCTTAATCCTAACAAGATGATTCATGTAATAATTGATTACCTTCCCCAGTAGTACCCTCATATAACGTTTCTTCTCGCTCGAAGGTCTGAGAGTAGGGGTGTGCATCTGGTAAAGCCAAACCGAAAAAAACTTTTCCAGCATTTTTTTGGTATTTTACATACCAACTCAGATCCCCTGAGCCGATTCAGCTGCCGAATACTGAATGCCCGGCTTTCTCGGGGAGACACTGCTGCCTGCCTTTTCCCCCATCCCCATAGGAAACAGTGGAGGATTGGGGGCACCCTCTTTGGGTGCCCCTAGAATTGGACCCCCTGGTCCAAACGTTTCCAAACTTGGAGGGTCTTTGGGGAGAGGCTCCAGCAGCTACAGTACAAATTTTGTGCCTCTACCTCAAACCCCTCCCCCCTAGCCCCCTGAATACTTGTTAGAAGATTTTGGCCATTGACTATAATGGCCCCATAGGCTATAATGGAGCTGAAAATTTTCAGGAATACTGAACATTTTCAGGTACCAATAGAATACCAGTATTGGTATTCAGGTATATTTGGGAATCCCAAAAAAAATGGCTTTTTATACTTGAATCTGGGAGTTAAAAATTGAAAATGAGCTAAAATTGATTACAATGCTGGCGAAGTCAGAGGGACTGGAACTGTAGAGTCAAAGCCACCACAAAGATGAGAACGCCTGTTGTCTGGTAGATAACAGACTAAACAGAGTCATACCCTTCCATGCCCATTTACCTTTATTTTGCCTTCTTCCCCCCCTGCCTGCAAAGTAGCTGGCAGTCTGGACTCAGATTGATTAGTATTCAGCATCTCTTTTCATTGGATATGTGTTCTTAATGTTTTAATGATTATATCTGGTTGTGTTTTATGGACACTCTACATCGCCCAGAGCCTGGCAATAGCAGGGATTGGGCGATTAATACATCCAGTTTATAAATACATAAATAAATAATAAATAAAACGGGCTTAGAAGGGTGTACTGCTGCTCAGGATGGGCCTGTCACAGGATAATCCTAAAAACACATAGGTGGATTAAGATCTATTCAATGGGGTTTACTTCCAGGAAAGTAGTCTTAGGACTGTCACACTCTTACAGTTTTGTGCTACATTGGTTGGTCCCATAAAAAAGGTATTAAATAGATTTTGTTCTTGATGCTGGATTTTGTATGGACCAATATGGTGATATAATTTTTTTTTACCCCCTTACAATGCTAGCCTTAGGGTTGCCAGCGGGGGATGCGTAGGTTTGCCAGATCCAGACTGGGAAACTCCTGGAGCTTCGAGGGTGGAGCCTGGGGAGGACAGGGACCTCAGTCTGATACACCCTCCAAAGCACCCATTTTCTCCGGGGGAAACTGATCTCTGTAGTTTGTAGATGAACTGTAATTTTGGGAGATCCCACCTGGAGGCTTGCATTCGTAGCCAACCTAAGAAGAGCGTTATACCCTGATAAACAAATCAGCATAAATGAACTTAGTGTTGGAAGTGAAGGACTTTGCTCTGTCTCTTAGCCTCAGACTTCAGAGGGGGGCTATAATAGATTCAAAGAGATAGATAGGCCAGGACTCTGATCATCCATCCCTTGTATTTCTCTGATGCTATCCCTTTGATGTGTAGATTGCTACTCTCAGGCTGCAGTCACACACACTAAATAATCCACCTTCGATCCGCTTTCAGTGCACTTTCCAACTGGATTTTACTGTGTGAACTGGCTGACTCCTCAGGGAGCCTTCCTTCTTTCCAGCTTTGACACCTTCTCTCCACACTGTGCCACTCTTCTCCATCTTGGGACCATGAGGACAGGACGTGCTTTCTGCATCTCTATCCATCCTAGCTAGTTAGACTAGATTAGAATCCAGTCTCGACCCTATCCTGCCTAGAATGGAGTTCCTTACAATAAAGGACTCATTAGTTTTACAATGACAAAGAGGCTCCGTGTGTAACTCTGTTCTTGTCAGCACACACAAACCATATGGGCTGTGCTGCATTATGTGGCTTGAGCAATCTGCTACTCAAATAATCCTTCACTTAGAAGGGTGTAACTCTGCATAAGATGGCACCCTACATATGGGGAGACCTGGGTTTAAATTCTGGCCCCACTTTGAAGCATCCTGGATCACTCTTTCTCAGCTTAACCTGACAGGGTTGTCGTGAATGACATAACTCCATGAACTAGAGTTGCTGACTCTTAGTTGGGAAATCCCTGGAGATTTGGTGGGGTGGAGCCTGGAGAGAGCAGCCTCCACTCCAAAGCTGCCATTTTCTACAGCGGAACTCATCTCTGGAGTCTGGAGATCAGTTGCAATTCTGGGAGGTCTCCAGGCGCCACCGGGAGGTTGGCAACCCAGCGATGGACACTGGGGCTTCTTGGTGGAAAGCTGGAAGATAAAGGTGCATTTGCCCCTTGAAAAATTGCCCCTCAACCTGTTTTTATTTATGCTGAGGAAAATGTATGCGTACTCACAAATTTTCTCCAGTGGAGTTAAAAGCAACTCCGGTATTAAAATGAAAAGCTCTTAGTTAAACACACAAAGCCCCCCCCCCATTCAGACTTCAAACATAAATTATCCAGTGTTTATGTCACAGAACTGTTCCTGCAATATTTTAGTAGTAGCAACAACTAAACCACAAGGACATAACAAGTTCTAATCTCATGTCTTTCTTCTGCAGAAGTGATGTTTGAAAAACGAAAGTGAGCTCCAGTCCAGTTATTTTCTGTTGATATTTCTTTTTTCTTCTTTTCTATAATTTGTAATCCAAATGGGTTTTAAAAATAGCTATAATCCAATACGTATATTTCCCAATAATCCAAATATGGTTAACAATATTTGTAATCCAATAGGTATCTTCTAGAAAATTCACTTGGTCAGATTAAAAATCCAAAATTTAAAAAAGAAAAGACTGCTGAAACCAAACATAATCCACCAATTTAGTGTTATAATCCCCAGGGTCAATTTTCTTTAAAAAGCCATGTTATTTATATCCACGCTTAACAGTTCTAGACATCTACCAGTTCTCTTTAGCCCTTGACTAGCTTTTAAAACACCATACTCAGTTCTTTGTCCAGCCATTTCTAGAGAAGGGGGGGGTATCCTCCACCCTTCCGATCTTCTACTTTTCTTTAAAGGGGATTCTCAGATCTTTCCCAAAAGTGCCATTAAGAGTACTCACAATGAAGATGAAATCTTGCTAGTAGTTCGAAGTTCAGAATATACCGCTGGCCCCCTTCCACCGGCATTGAGGCTCCACAGCTAAAAGGACTGCTCTTGCTGGAGCTTGCGCTTTGGGACAATCCAGGCTCAATTCGCTTGCCGCCGCAAGTGGAGATCCCAGGATCAAGTCTCTTCCTCGGGACCCCTCTTTGAGGGAGTCCCAAGGGGCTCTTAGAAGAGTTTAACCCCCCACCCAGGCTCGGCAGTCCGGCACAGCTTCCCGGAGCCTCTTGGGAGCTGGACTGTCGCTGCCATGCCAAAACCGGAACTCCGAGTTAAAAGCAACTCCAGAAAGTGAGGACAAGAAGGAACAGTTAAATATCCCTTACCAACCCAGTCTCCTTTTAAAAAACTGAAGTTATGAATTTGACTGGTTTAACATTATATGATAAAATTATATGAACGTTTTAATATGAAATATTAAGGACATTATTTTTATGTGACTGTTATGAAGAGAAAATGATAGAATATGTTGAATAGGTCGTTATACTGATTCTTTAGGCTATTATGCTATATATATCTTTAAGCTATTATGCCATATATATTTCTAACTCATTACGCCATATATATTCTTTAAGTTATTATGCCATATACTCTTTATACATACATATGTATGTATATACATGCATACATATATACATATACACATATACACATATATACATAAGGAGCTGCGGTGGCTCAAGTGGTTAAGATGCTGTGGAAGGTCAGTAGTTCAGCAGTTCGAGACCCGGGTGCCGCATGACGGAGTGAGCTCCTGTCTCTAGTTCCAGCTCCTGCCAACCTAACAGTTCGAAAGCAAGAAATTGCAAGTAGATAAATAGGTACCACTTCGGTGGGAAGGTAACAGCATTCCGTGCGCCTTGGTGTTTAGTCATGCCGGCCACATGACCACGGAATGTATATACATATATACATATACACATATATACATACATACATATATGTGTGTGTGTGTATGTATATGTGCGTATACACACACACACACACATATACATACATACATATATATATATATATACACACACACACACACATTTTGATCAAGGAATTTCCTTAAAATCTCTAAAAATTCTGTTTATATTGTGTTTTTGTTATTATATTTTTAAGAATTTCTCTCATTTCCTTTTTTCATTCTGTATTACCTTAAAAATTCAAAATAAAATTTAAAAAAGTGAAACCCCCCCAAAAAGGGGGAGGGGGAAGGATCACGGAACTACTCATATAACATATATTTCTGCCCTAAGTCTTTTTGCATTCCAAAAGGAAACCTTAGCCAATGAACCCACTTCTGTGGTTTGCACGATGCTTATAGGATCTGGAGAGCTGTCGGTTGCGTTTGGACCCGGAGATGGACCGGCACAGGTATGAGAGGAAGATCAGCTTTGCAGGAGTTCTGGACGAGAACGAAGACTCCAAAGACTCCTTGCATAGTAGCAGCCACACCCTGAAATCTGACACGGGTTGCGAAGAGAAGAAAGGTTCGTCAACCCTACTAAAGCTTCCCACTCTATCCCCCTCCCCGGTATTTGGTGCTGGAATTTATTGTATTATAAGGCAAATAACCATGGAGCCACATGGCTGAACTGTCTCTAGCATCTAAAGCCATAAAGGAAAAGGTTTGGGGGAGCATCTCATTGCTAAGCGCATTTCTATGGCAGCAAAGGCCCCTTCACTTTAGCGGTACTGAGTTCTGAGGAAGCATCCCCCCAAAAAACCCCTGAAACATTAGTCGATGTCTGTTCTCACAGCCAGATGTGGCATGCAAAAATCCATATAAATTCTACATTTTCCCACTCCGAAGTACAAAAATTGAGAAAACCAGTGCATGTTGACCAATGCTTCAGGCCTATGATTTCAGTAGCACTTAAGATCGTGTTCAGACGCACTACGTTACAACCAAATTTAGTTAGGTAAGCATTCCAACAGCCTTTTAATGTGGTCTTATGCCACAAAAGAGAAGTCTTTTTTTCCAAAGATCGAAAGCCAGAAGCGATATGACAGGCCACAGGATCCGTTCGCGCGCTCCCTGCGCAGTTTTGCTCCCCCCCCCCTGCACAAAAGAGAATCTGCTATGTGGCTCTCAATGGCTAATCCCAAAATATGATGTGTAATGTCAAGACATAACCTCACTGTGGTTGCTCAGGCAGCAAAATGTCTGTCGTTGTAATGCCATCTCATGCAAAACAACAAGCAAAACTTCAAATTGTCATTCTCTTTTACGGTTCAAGTGTTGCAATACGAAACACAGTCAATAGTTGCTTCAGCAGCTGTTACGGATCAAAATGGTACCCCAGGTTATGAGATACAGTGTAGAATAATGGCAAAACCACTTTTTTGAGCCACTTTGCAGTGTACGAATCAGGCAGTTATGGTTTTCAAGGAATACGTAATGGTTTTCAAGGAATAAGATACCATTAAAGAAACACACACACACACTGGGTTGGATCCTATGTGTCTTTTCCTAAGTCTTCCTTCAAGGAAGAAAGACTTTCTCCAATGGAGAATGGTCCTCTCATTGAGAAAAGTCTCTCTTTGTTGAAGGCAGTCTTTCTCTGTTAGACAAAGCCTTGGTAGAAGACAGTCAAAGGATCCAATATAGCAGAAGAGAGAGTCATAGGATCCAACCCTTTAAATCTGATCGCAGTGTGACTTGAATCAGATGAGTTGCTGGAAGAGCCATGCATGTTGGGTGAAGCATTTACGTTGACTATACAATGTCTGTATGTTTCCCCCCATGTAACAAACAGCAGCTTTTGGGAGGTCAGGAAAATGGAGTTAAAACTTATGCCATGGCCCCAGAGGAAAACTATGAGGATGATTAGAGGTTTGTAAAATAAGTCTTATGAAGAAAGGCTGCAGGAATAGGGAATGTTTCGCTTGGAGAAGGTTGAGTGGGGATACTCTTTTCAAGTATTTGAAGGGCTGTCATTTAGAAGAGGATAGGGCTCTGTTTCAGTTGGTAGTGGAAGACAGGTAATAATGGGTTTAAATTATGAATGGGGGGTACGATGGCCTCGTCCACTTTCTTCCCTCAGAGGCAAGATTTCCCATCCATTTTTGTGTCCCTTTTGTGACTGAGCTGCCTTAGTTGTCTGTTTTCTTCTTTCCTGAAGAATTGTGGCTGTCCCACCCTGTCACAGTATAATATTGGGGCTGTTTGCTCAGCCCATGAACCTGAGGGAAGGAATGGGAGCCCCCTTTAACTTATGCGACTTAAATGGCACTTGAGAAGTTTTTATATTCCAAATTAACAAAATATTTTATTCAACATACAGGGGAAAGGTCAGGTGAAATCAGGGGTAAAATTTCTGAGGTAACAATATAGATAATTCTGAGATAAAATCAGTATATGCACTCTTTAGTTCTTATGTTTCAGGCGAATGAGGATTTCTTAAGCTATTCACAGTTACTTAAATATTTATGTTGAGAGACCTTTGTTCCAGTGTTTTCCCATACACTCAAATACATTTTCTTCACATATTTTCTGACTCTTTTGGTTTTCAGTACCCAGACCCCTTCTCTTGAAACACCAGTATTTGTCTTACATTTTTAACTGATTCTTAAGGTTTCTACAGGCAGTTTCTAACCACACCAGACTAGGGATCTCTACACTCTTCAGAGCTTACTCCCTGTTCGACTGGGTAGGGAAATTCTCATCTCACTATCCCCCCCCCTTTTTTTTGGTCCAAATGAGAGTCTTTGCCTACTTCCCAAACTTCCTTGCCAACTTTCCCCAAGTTCTCCTGTCTATGTTATACTGGTCAGTCAGGGATGAATCCCGAAACTGTCAGTACTTGATTCTTCTCAGCTAGGGCTGAAATCAGACGGCCTCTCTCCTCAGCATCCAGTTCAGAAGTCTTTCTCTGCTCATCTGATGCTAACCAGTCAGATCTCTTGGAACAGTCTATCACTCAAGGCTCTCTGGCTCTGTGAAGAACTAACCCTTCATAGTCCTTTATCTGTTTACACAGCACTTCTAAGCTTTTAAAAAGTGCAGTCTGTCGCAGGGGGATATCAGTGGGATATTAGGAAAACATTAGAAATAAGGGCAGTTGAGCGGTGGAGTCAGCTGCTCAGACATACTGTGGGTTCTCTTTCCTTGGAGGTATTTAAGTGGCAGTTGGGCAATTAATTGTCAAGAATAGAATCATAGAATCATAGAGTTGGAAGCGACCTCCAGGGTCATCTAGTCCAACCCCCTGCACAATGCAGGAAATTCACAAATATCTCCCCCTCCACACCCGCAGTGAATACTTTTAAGTCATCTGATTCAGTACTACCATGTTGAGAACGTGCCACTTCACAGGGCTGAGGTATACGATATATGCGACACGAGCTGGGATACGAGTGCCCTGCTCGACTCGTAGTCACCTGTTGGATTGGTGTTATTCCACATGGCTCTGAACCATGCAAGTGGGGAGGAAGGGCTTCAAGCTCTCCCTCCCATGCCATTTTCACCAGTGGAAGTGCCTCTTCAGGGGGTTATGGAGCCCAAGGAAGCACCTGTGTCCCAACTCATGTATTTGACCCTCATGAAACAAGTTTGTTACCTGCTGTGTGTCTGAAGTTTGCCACCAGGAAGCAGTGCCCATCAAACACAAGAGCCTCTTTTGTTTTGGTGGACTATGGTTGTGTCCCATCTTGTATTTATTTGTTTTTGGTGACAGCTCTGTCTGAAGTCAGTCTGATCATTTGCAAATTATTTAAAGTCAGCTCTTGAATTGTGTAGGGAGATGGGTTACTGTAAAAGCAGGCTTTTCTGGGAAGAATTGCACATCATGCTCTTAAGAGAACATAAGAACATAAAGAGAAGCCATATTGGATCAGGCCAATGGCCCATCCAGTCCAACATTCTGTGTCACACAGTGGCCAAAACTCAGGGGCCATCAGGAGGTCCACCAGTGGGGCCAGGACACTAGAAGCCCTCCCACTGTCACTCCCCCAAAGCACCAAGAATATAGAGCATCACTTGCCCCATACAGAGAGTTCCATCTATATCTTGTAGCTAATAGCCACTGATGGACCTCAGTTTTAAACACTCATGAAGCTGCCTTATACTGAATCTGACTATCGGTCCATCAGCACCAGTATTGTCTACTCAGACTGGCAGCCGCTCTCCAGGGTCTCAGTCAGAGGTCTTTCCCATCACCTCCTGCCTGGTCCTTTTTAACTGGAGATGCTGGGGATTGAACCTGCAACCTTCTGTATGCAAAGCAGAGGCTCATCTGCTGAGCCATAGCCCCTCCCCAACTCCATATCACTTGTGTGATAATCACTGCATTGTTGGGGCTACCAAGGTGTGCTTTAATGGCCATGGAAAAGCTATGATTTTGGTATCACTAAAAGGCAGATGCAAAATGAACACAAATATACCCGGATTCCGGTGGGTAGCTGTGTTAGTCTGAAGCAATAGAACCCAGTATGAGTCCAGTGGCACCTTTAAGACCAACAAAGTTTAATTCTGGGTATAAGCTTTTGTGTGCATGCAGACTCCTTCAGATATAACCATTAAGACTGATGAACTGTCAGAACAGAACACGGATTAGCTCCAGTGATCCCTGTACTCATTATCATTGTAGTTTGTTGAGCTAAGATTTTGATAGATACAAAGGATTTGATATTGATTGATTTCATTGTATTTATAGCCCATTTTCCCACCAGATGGGCTTCCAAAGCTGCCTACAGTTCAAATAATGGTGTCCAAAGTCCCTTCTACAAGCCGTCTGTTTACATGGCTTTATTGGATCTTTCTGTTCTCTGCTGGACCCTGAAGGTCGGAGAGAAGGGTACGGCTGGTCTGGGCCTCATTAGGCCAGGATGTTTCTTAGCTGTTCTGTCTCTCCAGTGTCAGCTGTGGTAATCCTCTCAAGATTCTTCCCAAGCCCTGACTAACGATATTTAGGTATATCTTTTCTCAACACTTCTCCCCTCTACCCTTTACAAAAAAAGAGACAGAGCCATCATTTATCCACACTGCCCTTAGCCCCGTATGTTGATGCATTCATTGACCGATATTTAGGTATATCTTTTCTCAACACTTCTCCCCTCTACCCTTTACAAAAAAAGAGACAGAGCCATCATTTATCCATATTGCCCTTTGCCCCGTATGTTGATGAATTCATTTATTTACTTCATTTAGAAGAAGAAGAGTAGGTTTTTATTCCCCACTTTTCTCTACCTTAAGGTGTCTCAAAGCAGCTTACAACGACATTCCCTTCCTCTCCCCACAACAGGCACCTTGTGAGGCAGGTGGGGCTGAGAGAGTCCTAAGAGAACCATGACTGGCCCAAGGTCACCCAGCCGGCCACATGTGCCTCCAAGTGGCTTACAATTGCCTTCCCCTCCTCTCCCCACAACAGGCACCTTGTGAGGCAGGTGGGGCTGAGAGAGTCCTAAGAGAACCATGACTGGCCCAAGATCACCCAGCAGGCCACATGTGTCTCCAAGTGGCTTACAATTGCCTTCCCCTCTTCTCCCCACAACAGGCACCTTGAGAGGCAGGTGGGGCTGAGAGAGTTCCGAGAGAACTGGGAGTGGCCCAAAGTCACCAATCAGGCCTCATGTGTCTCAAAGCGGCTGACAATCACCTTCCCTTCCTCTCCCCAGAACAGGCATATTGTGAGGTAGGTGGGGATGAGAGAGTTCTGGGAGTACTGGGACTGGCCCAAGGTCACCCAGCAGGCCTCATGTGGAGGAGTCGGGAGCCAAACCCGGTTCTCCAGATTAGAGTCTGCCACTCTTAACCACGATACCACACTGGCACTTTCTCCCACTTTTATATCCTGCCTTTCTCCCCAGTGGGGGACCCAAAGCAGTTGACATAATTCTCCTCTCCTCCATTTTATCCCCACAACAACCCTTGTGAGGTAGGTGAGGCTCTGAAAGTCTGACTGGCCCAAGGTCATGCAGCTAGCTTCCATGGCAGAGGAGGGTTTCAACCCTGGGCCCCCCCCCCCGATCCTAGTCTGACACTCTAACCACTACACCACGCTGGCGCCACATCTTATTACGTAGATGTCCGACTGAGTGTTGCAACATTTGGGCTTGCATAATGCCATGTGCTGCATTAGAGCCGAGTGCAGAACAACATGCAAACGACCGACCGTTGCTTCGAACCATCCCATGTTTACGTGCTCATAAACCAACAACAGCATCCACAGATGTCTTTAATGCGTGAAAGCTTCCGACCTGTCTGAAAGAGCAGGACCCACGTGTTGTTACTTTCTCTGTAGAGCTCTGGTGACGTTTCAGGTACAAAGACGACGATAAACGGAAAGGTAATATCCGCACTGGATAAGCGAAGTTAGGCTCCTAGCTGAAGGAAGTGGGCAGCCTATTTCCAATCACAGTGGCTACACGATTGGATACTTAACAATCCTGTAAGAAGATCTGAACACCCCACGGGCTAGCAGGAGGGTAGTCTCGCCCCCAAGGCCTCGCTGGTAATTGGTGCAGTTGCAATAGCAAAAGTCAACCGGGCAGGCACCGAAAGAGAACAATTTGGTCCTTCGACTTGCTCCCGAATAACTTGGGAGCAACTTGTTGGATGCAAAGAGTCGCTTTCCTTCTTTAGCCATGGGGCTTCCGGCTGTACTTCACACCCTGTGTTTCCTTGATCCTAACGGCTGCATCTAGGGGTAACGAGGATCTGAGGAATCCGCACAAAACGTGTTCTCGCCTTTCTGGAAGGCGTCCTGGACTGGACAATTAACGGAGCTGCATTGGCGTTGGCTTTGGAGGGAGCCTCTTGCCGCTCTTTCGCTCTTCCTCGAGAGGGAGGTTGGGGGCGGGTTAAGAGTATAACTACTACTACTACTATTTCTATATTTATTCTATCTCTATTTAAAATCGGGGGAAATTAAGGGGGAAAAAGTCCTCTCTTATTCTTTCAATGCAGTTCCCAGCAGGAAGATCAGGATAGGAGGCTCCCGCTTGCTCCAGATAAAAGGAACCCGCAGTTTCCGGGTGAAGAAAGGGGGTTCCCTGTCCAGCATTCGCCGGGCCGGCAGCCTAAAGAGCACCAAGTTATCCCGTCAGGACTCAGAGTCTGAGAATGAGGACCTTCAGCTGTCCCACAGCAGGGACACTGTCACTGACATAGGTAACATAGATGAGCCGGGCTTTAAAAAAAAGGGAACGGGAGGATGAAGCAGCATCTTGAGCTTGCAAGCAACCTGAGCTCACCTAGGAGAGAAATCCCTTGAAAGTAGGAGAAAGGCTGGTAGGCTAGGCATACATCCGTCTAGTACCAGCTGAATCCAGGAGGTCACACTTTTTTTTTTTTTGCATGACTTAAATGCCCCCGGCAAGGACCCAGTTTGAATCCTGCCCCCGGTGCACTAGGTAGCCCCTTCCGTTCCACTCCATGGATGCCAAGTCCCTTAAATGTTTGGTGCATGGACTCAGTATATAGGCATTTGCCAACCGAATGCATGCCATGCTTAGGAAGGTGTATATATAAAAATATCATCTATTATATATCTGTGGCATATATAATATCGATGGTATCGTAATGTATATACATATCTCATATCAATGTTATGTACTGTGCATAGAGCTATATATACAGTATGTGTATATATTCTGCGCTGTATGAGATATAAATATATGTGTGCTTGCGAATCTCCAAACTATGGCTACCTTTAGAGTTTTTGTATAGAAAAAAGAAGAAGTCAGGAACAGAGAAACCCTGAACTTGAACCTCTTTCACTTTGCTGGTCTCAGTGGCATTGCCCATGCTCTTTCTCTTTTGCGGGGGAAACCAGAGTTTAGCTAGCTACCTCTTCACTTCCAAATGGGGGTGGAGGACCACCAGTTTGACTTTTGAGTCACGTCTTTCCTAGCCTTAACATAACAGCCTCCAGTCAGCAACCTCTCAGCTAAAGGTCTGGCAAAACAGGTGGCCCGCTGGTAATCGACGAATGCAGGAATCTCTGGGGTCAGAGTGTGACTCCCCGGCAATGCTCCCTCTAAGCTCTGGAGTCTTGTGAGCAAAAATTCTACTTTGTGAGCTACCGGCATTAAAGTTGTGAGCGAGCGATTTGGCTGCTGCATAAATGAGTTGGCTCTGGAGCCATCCCTTCCTGAGCGAAGACAGAAAATGTGTGAGCTGGAGGCTGAAAAACTGTGAGCTAGCTCACACTAACTCAGCTTAGAGGGAACATTGCGTCCCTGGCCGTTGTTCTGTAGTATGGGTCAGGATTTCCCCCCCTTTCATCCTCTGAGGGGCCCTAACTAGTTTGTGGCAGGCGCAGCTGTAGCAAATGTAATCTAGCTGCTGGGGGGGGGTACATTTACTGACTTTTTTAAAAAGCAAAAAAACAGAGCCCAGTCAATGCAGATCACTGAAACCAATAATTTCGAGCATCATGATGATGCAAGGATTTTTCCTTCCACTCTTTACTGACCTTCCCCTCTTCCAGAAAAAGGGAGCAGGGCTCGTCCCTGATTAGTTGTCTGGTGAATGGCGGTTAAGAATTATGCTTGTAATGACCAGTCCGGCTAATAAACAAGGGCGAGAAAAAGGGCAAGGTGGGGGCAGGAGGGAGGCCATCGAAGGAACGAATTCTTGAAAAAGTAGCCGAAGTTCCATTTGGAGCTGTTCGGCTGGTGCGGTTAAAGCACGAAATTTCTGCGCCCTTCAGCATGCGAAGGAGCAATGTTAGTCGGTGTCAACCAACTGGCCTGGTTTACAAGCATACACCTTAGGTTAAAAGCATGCAGGTAGTGTCAGAAGACAACCACTTTTGCGTGTGTCTTTTGCTTTTGAAGAAGGCAGCCCGTGGAGCACAAGCGAACCCAGCATAGAACCGGAAGTGCTGAGCAGCACCGGCACAGAAGAAAACTACCATCGGAATATGTCTTGGCTACACGTAAGTAAGAGACACAAGTGCTGGCCTAGAATTTCCGAGTACAGGAATGATGCTTAGTATTGACGGGTGGTCATCTAGATCAGTGATCCTCAACCTCTGCAGACCTGTACACAACTCGAAGCCTTCCATGCTGTCATCGGATAGGGCTGGCAACTTCAAGCCAGGAAATTCCTGGCGATTTAAGGGTGGAACATGAGGAAGTTGGGGTTTGGGGAGAGACTTCAGCAGGGTGTAATTCTTTACAGTCCACCCTAGGGTTGCCTGGTCTCCCTGTCCACCGGTGGGGGGCAAGTAGGGTTACCAGCTCCAGGTTGTGAAATCTCTGGAGATTTGGGGGTGGAGCCTGGGGAGGGCAGGGACCTCAGTGGGGTACAATGACACAGAGTCCACCCTCCAAAGCCTTCTTTTTCTCCAGGGGCACTTTACTCTGATGAGCTGTAATTCCGGGAGATCCCCAGGCCCCACCTAGAGGCTGCTGCAAACCAAGGAGAAAGATCACAGGAAGGAAGTGGAAAAGGAAACAAACAACCGTGATATATTATGCCACAAAAGTATTCAAAAACTAGAAATTTCTTTTTCTAGTTTTTGGAGACTTTTGTGGCATAATATATCACTGTTGTTTGTTTCCTTTTCCACTCCCCCACCTGGAGGCTGGCATCCGTAGTTCACCCTGAAGCAGGGGACCTGAACTTTGTCATTTGGAGGCTGGCAACCATAACCTTAGACCCACTGAACTGCAAGCATGAGAGAGGAAAAGAACAGGGAAGTCAGAGCAGGCCAGGGCTGTGGACAGCAGAACAGAATACACAACCTGAACACCAGGAGATCTACCATAAGAAGGGACAAGTCATAGGTCGGAACTATGGAGGTATCCTTTCCACCACTGAATGACCTGATCACACTCTCTTGGTGCTCCTCTTGATGTCCATGCATGGATAGGCAGGAGGCATGATGCCCTTGTTCTCTAGCAGTGGGTCCTTCCCAAAAGCCAGGGGGGGGAGGCAGTTTCGGAGGCACCTATGACTCAGCAGGTGGGCCTCCATGACTCATCTGAAGGTCCCAGCCCAGGGGTTGAAGATTACTGATCCGAACAAAGAAGGAAGAGCTTTCTACAAAGCTAGGGGGACCCCTCAGGTCTGTAGAACAATACAAAAACTTTTAAAGAATAATTGGGAGTAGGGCTGCTGACCTCCAGGTGGGGCCTGAGGACCTCCCAGCATTACAACTTATCTCCAGAGTACAGAGATCAGTTCCCCCGGACAAAATGGCTGCTCCACGGCATCACCCCCTGTTGGGAAATTCTTGGAGATTTGAGGATGCTGCCTGAGGAGGGTGGCATTTGGGGAGGGGACCTCAGCAGAGCCCACCCTCTGAAGCTCCCATTTTCTCCAGGGGAACTGAACTCTGTAGCTTGGGGATCAGCTGTATTTCTGGAAGATCTCCGGGCCACACCTGCCTGATAGAACTTGAGAGATATGTTCTCCTAGATAAGTTATTATGTTTGCCGCAAGGGTTCCGATGGGACCCTAGAAAAAAGCTGCTATTTTAAGAGATTTATACTTACAAAGAGAATTTATTGCGCCTTATGTCTTGTACGTATATCACTGTCCCTGAAAAAGATTGTATTCGATACGGGTAAATTACTAGGTGCTGCTTGAATGTTTCAACATAGTGTAAACCTGCACTTTGATGTATTGGTTGGGTGAACCTATGTTTGGTAATACTTGACACTAATATTTATATAATATTTATTTATGATTTATTTATTTCATTGGATTTATTAACCGCCCTTACGCGGGGCTCAGGGCGGTTTACAGCAGGGAGATTCGATACAAATTAGAAAACCGATTAAAACCACAAGCATACAATCTTTTTGTTTTGCATTCTGTTTTACTGAAGAAAGGATTTTATAAATGTAATGCCACCAAAATCATTAATATGATGAAAAACAAAACTTCATTTGCATGCTTTATCTTCATATCTTTTTCATCTTCTTTCTTCTTCCAAAATTATCACATGCTAATGTTTATAAGATTCTCAAACAATCTCAGCTCATTATAATAGATTTACAATAGATCATCAAATTAATCTTTGAACTAAATTATTCTACAATTAATTAAACTCAGTCCTAGGAGGCCTCAAAGGTCAGGAGGGGGGGACCCCTCTTTCCAGGGACCGATTAAACCTTGGGGGAACATACCCAGACACTTCTTGTAGCATCAAAAAAAAAGCATACAGTATTAAACAATCAACATACATGGTATAGAAAAATTTAAAAAATGAAAAGCACAAAATAAATCTACCTTTAGCATAAACCCATGAATCATCTGACGCAGTGTCATATATTTTTCCATATCACACCTGGAGGTTGGCAGCCCTCCTCTGGAAAGTTCGGGTCTTTCTTTTCTGGGTCCAGCCTGGTTCTGCCACTCCGCCAATGCCTTGGGGGTGCCTTTTCCTTTCCAGGTGATGATCCTGCTTTGCAACCAGCAGAGTTTCATTTGCACCCACATTGACTACTGTCACCCTCACTGCTACCTCCACCACAGCCGTTCCTGCGCACGGCTGGTCCGGGCAATCAAGCTCCTCTACGGAGACACCGTGGATTCCCTCCGTGAAAACAACTTGCTCAATAATGTGACTCGGGGCAAAAAGCAGAAAGAGGTAAGCCTGCCGCTGTGAGGCTCCCCCAGTTCTTCAGGTTAACTTCATCTGTGGGGCCTTATCCTACGGCAGAGAGCCCTGGGGGGGACAAAAATTGTGTAGATCAGGCTTGCCCGATGTGGTGGCCATGGGTGCCATGCCGCCTGCCAACAGTGTTGCTGGCGCCTGCCAAGTGTTTTGAGAAATAGGAGGGGCCAAATGGGGCTCCTGCCCAGTTGGCCATTGGAGATTTGACTGTACAGATTAAAATAACCACAGTGTTGGTGAGAGCCAGTTTGGTGTAGTGGTTAAGACCGCAGACTCTAATCTGGGAGAACCGGGTTTGATTCCCCACTCCTCCACATGCAGCTGCTGATGTGACCTTGGGTCCATCATAAGTTCTTTCAGAGCTGTTCTCTCAAGAGCAGTTCTCGGGAGAGCTCTCCCACAGCCCCACCTACCTCACAGGGTGTCTGTTGTGGGGAGGGGAAGGGAAGGGGATTGTAAGCTGTTCTGAGACTCCTTCAGGTAGTGAAGGGTGGGGGATAAATCCAATCTCTTCCTCCTCCTCCTCCTCCTCTATCTCTCTCTTTCCCAGTGTATTTTTCAAAATTAGTCTTCTTTTCCTGGGCACTGGGGCTTCCTCTATGTGTGTGTGTGGTTGGCTCCATCTTCTGAGGTGGCCATTTTGTGATTGGGCCCACCCCCCTGTGTCAGAATTCCAAAGGTGCCCACAGACTCAAAAGGCCGAGACACCCCAGCTTAGACACAGAGAAGGTTCCAGTTCTTCTTTGGTAAACACCGTTTCTCTTCCAGTGCTCGGACAAGTCGTGCTTGAGAACCCCCTCCCTGAAGAAAAGAGTGATAGATTCCAATCTGGAAGGAAAGAAGGATTCTGGGATGTTGAAATACATCCGGCACCAGGTAAGGAGGGGGGCTTCATGTTTCTAGATCGTTTCAGAGGGTTGGTCTGCCGTTGAACAGCTCGATTTGAGTCCAGTAGCACGTTTGAGACCAACAAGATTTTTGGGGTATAAACCTTTGAGAGTCAAAGGAAGGGAGCTTTGACTCTTAAAAGCTTAGACCCCCCCCCTAAAAAAAACCCTTCTTCTCTAAGGGCGACCCTGCATTGCCTTTTCCGTCCGTTGTTTCACCAAGCCCACCTTGGAACAGAAATTTCCCCCCTGCATTGCATGCCGATTTCACTTTTTTTGATCGTCGGGTTTTATGGTACCTTCTGAATAGATAGGTGGCCATTCAGGGGTGACTTCGCAGTCACGACGGCGTTGCCCCAGGGTATTTGAATGTGGTTTTGAGCTGCACCTTTGGTAAACAACAGAGGGAAAAGCCAATGCAGAATCGCCCTAAGGTGCTACTGGACTCAAATCGAGCTGCTCTTGTTTTTACTGTCCAATAAGAGTGTTGCCTGGGCGAGGAAATAGCGGTGTGAAGAATCATCAGCTCCTCAATCCATTTCCTTGTCAGACCTAAATTTTATTCTTGGGAATGCTTATTATTCTATTCTTGGGAAGCATAGAGATGATAGCATTGATTAGACTGGCCAAAGCAAAGTGCCCCCATAAGTTGTGTTTGTTTTTGGTCATCTGGGACAAATAGGGTTGCCAGGTCTGGGTTGGGAAATACCTGGAGGTTTGGGGGTGGAGCCTGAGGAGGGTGGGGTTTGGGGAGGGGAGGGACTTCGAGCGGGTATAATGCCATACAGTCCGCCTTCCAAAGTGGCCATTTTCTCCAGGGGGAACTGATCTCTGTCACCTGGAGATCAGTTGGATAGCCCAGGCTAGCCCGTCAGAAGCTAAGCAGGGTCATCCTTGGCTCATATTTGGAAGGGCGAACTCCAAGGAATACCAGGGTCATGACGCAGAGGCAGGCAACGGCAAACCACCTCTGAAATGCCTCTTGCCTTAGAAACAAGTCTAGCTTGCACGCTAAAAGAGCTAGAACTTGTGGCTGCCGGACAATCTTAGGATCTCCTGGTTAGTCTACACAGAATACCACATGATACTTAATTAATTAAGTGGGAGATCTCCAACCACCACCTGGAGGTTGGCAACCCTAGTGACCAGAGGCAAGGATGAAAACGTATTCGTTGATCATAGTGCCAATTGATCAGTTAGAAGCAGGACCACCCAGTTGCAGCACTCTCAAGTGTGGTTAAGGAGGGCTGCTTCCAGGTTTTCAGGGCCCCCTTCCCCTCTTTCACCCACCCCCAGGCCCCCACACATACCCTCCTTCCTTTTCCCAAGTCCGCCTCCCATCTGCCTGTCTGTCCTTCCCCTACCGGCTTGTGAGCTCCCCAACTGCCCGCAGCCCTGTTCCTAGTGTCACTGGTCAGTGAGAGTAACTGGGAGTAATGGTGGAACACTAGCAAATAAGTGAGGGGGGTTGACAGCAGTGGGCCCTGCCACACGCCCTGTGCCCTGGCAACTGCCCTGTCCTTAAGAAACCCAGTTAAGCTAAGTGGGACTTGAAAGGGTTATGAAAGCCATTGCCTAGCTTTATTGGTCCTATTGTGTGTTGCCCGCTTGCATTTCCTGCAGGTGATGAGTCTGTCCCCAGCCCCGTTATCACTGCTGATCAAGGCAGCTCCCGTCCTCACAGAAGAGATGTACGGGGACATCCAGCCTGCAGCCTGGGAGCTGCTGCTCAGCATGGATGAGCACATGGCCGGTGCAGCAGGTAAGAGTGTGCTTGCGCACACAGCAGCACCAGTGACAGTGGCTTTGTGCCGGTACGGACTACAAAGGTGGCCCCTGCCTGGCTTTGGATCCTGCAACGTTCTGTCCATCGGAACAGAAGTGTCACCGAGCGTCCTGTCGAGTCCTTCCTATGTACTCTAATTCTTATGCTTTTTTTCTCCCTTACTGAGCAATGTTTTCCACACAGGATTGCCAACTCAATACAATTGGGAAAAATGACCTCACCGAAGAAGACACTTGGTTATACTTTTACAATGTTTACAATGCAAATTTCATAAGTATAAGCAAAGCCAGTTGATGTTGTTCACTTCCCCTATCTTTATTCGAGGGGGGGAGGGTTGCCATTGAGAAAATCAAAATGTGAAAACAGCCATTAAAATCAAAACAATAAATAAAAGAGCTGCTGCATAGCTTTGGGGTGCTCCCAGAACCAGGCCTTCTGTCGAATAAACAGTGAGCCGTGGTGACCAGGGGTGCCTTTCACCAGCTGCAGGTGATGAGCCAATTGTAGCCTTTCCTGGGCAGGAAAGATCATGCCACTTTGGTGCATGCCCTGGTAACACCTAGATTAGACTACTGCCGTCCATTCTACAAGGGTTTGCCCTTGAAGACTGTCCAGAATTTACAGATGGTACAGACTACTGAGGAATTCAAGATGCTGCTGGTATTGACCTTTAATTCAAGGTGCTGCTGGTATTGACCATTAAAGCCCTATACGATTTGGGGCCAGCATACCTTCAGAACCACCTTCTCCCCCGTGAACCTACACATCCACTCCAGTCATCTTTGGAGGCCCTGGTTTGGGTGCTTCCAAGGTTAGATACATGGCAGCCTGAGGAAGGGTCTTTTCTGTTGTGGCACCAAAACTATAGGATTCCCTCCTCAGGGAGATCTGTCTATCTCTCTCAATGGTTGTCTTCTGCCAGAGGGTGAAGCCTTTTCTGCTTTCCTCCCTCACTGACCCGCCTTCTTTGTTTAATTTCTTCTTCTTCCTCCTCCTCCTCCTCTTCCTCTTCTTCCTCTTCTTTGTATTTTAAAGCTGGTTTTAGTGTTTGTAATTGTTTGTCACCTTGTGGGGGGCTAAGTTGGAAGTGTAAAAAAAATGTTGGAACGTATTTACACATGTGGTGGAGATGCGAAAAAGTACAAAAATACTGGGGGGAAATATTTAAAATGGTGAAAGAAATAACAACAATTGAACCATATAGTCCAGAAGTATGTTTATTAAATATGTTTCCAGAACAATGTAACAAAGAAAATAGATATTTAATTACATATATTTTTACAGCAGCTAGAATAATGTTAGCAAAATGCTGGAAAACAGATAAAATACCCTCAAAAGAGGAACCGATAGAAAAACTGCGACGGTTGGCTGAAATGGACAGGTTAAGTTTGATATTACAAGGGAAGGACCAAGAGGTATATGAAAAAAGATGGGGGAAATTGTACATATGGTTGAATAACACGATGTAAAAAAGTGACTCACAAGAATACAAATGTAATCTGCTAAAGGCTGTGTAAATTATGGAAAACTATAAATAAAAATTAAAAACATATTTAAAATAAAACAGCCAACCAAATAAATGGGGATAGATCGAGATGGGTTAGTCTGTCTGTAGCCGTCGCAAAGAGCAAGAGTCCAGTGGCGCCTTAAAGACTAACAACAATTGTGGTGGAGTATGAGGTTTTGTGTGTCACTGCTCACTTCCTCAGATAGGTATCTGAAGAAGGGAACAGTGTATCATGAAAACTCATGTGCCGTCACAGATTTTGTTAGTCTTTAAGGTGCCACCGGACTGCTGCTCTTTTCTGCAAACAAACGGGGTAATTCCACTTCTCCCCTTCCAGCCATTGCTTTTAAATTGCAAAATAGTATATCCAGACTGTGAAAGAAATCAGTTCACAAAATATTTGCTTCTTTTAGCTGCCATGTTCCTTCTGTGTGCCGTAAAAGTGCCCGAGGCGGTATCGGATATGCTGATGTCTGAATTCCATCACCCCGAGGCCGTGCAAAGGCTGAATGCAATTCTCAAGTTCCACACCCTTTGGAGGTTCAGGTATCAAGTCTGGCCGCGGATGGAAGAAGGAGCTCAGCAGATCTTTAAGGTAAATGACGACACTGTCCGATAAAATTCAGAGCTGACTGAGGCTGTATCTGCAAACCTCCAGATTTCTATCATTTCCCCCACCGCCCCAGCACCATAAGGCTTTGGAGTTTACAGCCACTTGTCGTAATGGAGGCTAATTGAGGCAGAACAGGAATAAAGTTCTGATTGAATAAGGAATAACACAACCTTTTGGAAAATGGCTACGATTAGCCCTATCAGCATCTCTCAACAGCCTAAAACCTTGTGCAGTCTAAGGTAGGGTTGCCAGGTGCTTACCTTCTACCTGCTGTTTCCCCGGATCTTCTGGTGCACATTTTGTACACACACTGCAATAACATCACCCAGAAATGACGTCAACGTGCTAGGTACGTCGTGCAGTGGACGCTCTAGCATTTGCCCAAAAACTCTATGGTTAACTGCAGAGTTTTTTAGCCAAATGCTAGAGCGTCTCCCATGCAACGTGCCCACCTCTGGATGACATCATCGTGCCAGGCATGTCGGGTGCGGTGGAGCTCTTTGTGGGGATGGCAACCCTAGTCTAAGGTTGCCAGGTCCCCCCTAGCAACTGGTGGGGGAGAGGTGGACTCAGCAGCAGCAAACTGAGGCCTAGGCCCCTCAGAGGTGACACAGCAATGTCACTTCTGGTGAGCACTGAAAATGAGATTGTCATGTCAGTGGTGATGTTGGGATGATCTGGCATTTGGGCGAAAACTCTCCGGGAGAAGCCGTAGAGATTTTGCCCAAATACCAGAGTGTCCACACGTCACCACCAATGCGATGACGTCACTTCCGTCATGCAACATTGCTGTGTTGCTGGCCAAAAAGGCTTGGGCCTCAGTTTGCTGCCGGTAAGACCCCCCTGCTGGCCCACTGATTGGTGAGGGTCTGGGAACCCTAGCACAGTCATCATCTGGAATCAGCTCGGCTCCTGTGGTGGGTGAAATTATCATTCTTGGCACAGTGCATCTTTCTTTGGGATGGGGAGAGAACAGTTCTGAGACAAGTATCAGAAAACGTTAACCTTTTCCCACATCAAAATTCCCACATTTTCTCATAGCATTAAATAGTCTGTCATATTTACACTCGGGAGTTATTCCCCTCATTCTGCCAAGAGATGCTCTTCAGCATGGACAGAAGCCATGTGTCGCTACACAACCAACCTCCTTTGCGTTCCTTCCTCTTGGTCTGTTTCCCTAGATTCCTCCGCCCAGTATTAACTTCACCTTGCCGTCCCCTGTGCTGGGAATGCCCTCTGTGCCCATGTTCGATCCTCCGTGGGTTCCACAGTGTGGTGGGAGTGTGCAGGACCCAATTAATGAAGATCAGTCCGTAAGTAAAAATATCCTTGAAGGGGGAATCTTTTTATTTTTTAATGAGAAGTGGCTCTCAAAAAAAAATACTTTAGTTTTTTTTGTTTGGGGGGGGTTCATGTGTGCATGTATGTGTGTGAGTGAGTGTGTGTGTGTGCACCTGGAAGTCATGGCGACCTCTGGTGACTGACCGCTACTGGGGGCCCTGCAGGATATTCAGAGAGGTGGCTGAATAAAGCCTGCCCCCACCTCCCGGCTGCTGGTATTCCAAGGAGGTCTCCTATCCAAGTACTTGCCAAAGTTGACCCTGCTTAGCTTCCGAGATCTGACGAGATCAGGCTTGCCTGGTCAGGGCTCAAAATATTTTTGTGAGTATTTTGTGTGCGTGTGAGTGTGTGTGTGCCTGGAAGTCATGGCTGACTTCTGGCAACCCCTAGTGGGGCTCCGACATTTCAGAGAGGTAGCTTGCTATTGCCTGCCTCTGCGTCCCAGCCCTGGTATTCCTTGGAGGTCTCCCTTCCAAGTACTTGCCCGGGTCAGCCCTGCTCTACTCCCAAGATCTGACAAGATCGGGCCTGCCTGGGCTATCCCAGTCAGGGTTGTGGCTTTCGAAATACTGAGAGGTTTATGAGAGAGAAGCTGCCTGGGGACGGGCCTGGCCCTAGGTCACTGTTGGACCGCCCCCAACCTCTGGAGTCCCAGCTAATGGCAAAGTGACTGGCAGGTGCTGTGAGAATATCAGCAGGCACCCCCCAAAATACCGGGCTGGAAGCGGAATAGATGGCAGGGGGCACGGCATAAGAACATAAGAGACGCCAATGTTGGATCAGGCCAAAGGCCCACCCAGTCCAACACTCTGTGTCACACAGTGGCCAGAAATACCAGGTGCCATCAGGAGGTCCACCAGTGGGGCCAGGACACTAGAAGCCCTCCCACTGTTGACTCCCCCCTAAGCACCAAGAAGACAGAGCATCACTTGCCCCAGAGTCCCTATCTATACCTTGTGGCTAATAGCCACCGATGGACCTCTGCTCCATATGCTTATTTAATTCCCTCTTGAAGCCATCCATGCTTGTAGCTGCCACCACTTCTTGTGGCAGTGAATTCCAAGTAATACAAAAGATCAGACTGTGCATAAATAATAAAAAATATATTCAACAGTCAATGAGTATAATGATCTAAACCTATTCAAATAGAGTACTTTTTCATTAATACAGTATGGTAATCAGAAACTCAAAAATACAGGGTCCAGATATAAAAACAGTCCCATTAATACATCTTCAGAGATAGTCCAAGTCAAATTCCTCGAAAGGTGAAAAATCCAAATATAGATGTTTATAATTCTTCTTCATAAAATCCTCTTCTCGCTGCTTGTGTATCCACTTCACCGCCCCGCCGGCTTCAGGTTGCCTTATCGCCATGCTCAAAAGTGGTTTGTCTTATGTACATTAAGAATGAAAACTGTGTATGATTCATCATTGGAGCTGGGCGGCTTCACAGTTTCTGAAGGTGTATTAGTAGGACTGCTTTTTGTATTTGGACCCTGTATTTCTGAGTTTCTGATTACCGTATGGTATTTATGTACAACTACTCTATTTGAATAGGTTTAATATTATTAGAGAATCATCAAGAGTTGAACACGACTGAATAGCTAACAACAATAGATAATTATACTCATTGGTTGTTGAATATATATATTTTTTGTTATTTATGCATGGTTCGATCTTTCGTATCTTTTGTATTACTTACTCCCTTCCATGCATCCCTGCTGTTTGGGTCTCTTACCACCTGGAAGTCAGCAACACTATATGGGAAGCATCTCTGGTCCTTTCCGCACTTGGATCTCATCCCTGATTTTATCAGAGCTCAGAGGTCATTTCGGGGGGGATCGCGGGGGATCGCAGTTCCCCCGGGTGAGGTGCAGGGGGCGGGGCACATGACGAAGCCCCGCCCCCTGCTTCCGGCTGCCCCACTTCCAGCCCTCATTCAGCCAGGAGGAGGCAGAAGAAGAGGGAGGTTAAGTTGCTTCCTCCGTGCCTCTCCCCACCCCTGCCTGCCTGGGGCCAGGGAGGGCCTTGGTGGGGCTTCCTCGCACTCCCTCCAGCCTTGCAGGTCCACCGCCGGGCCCCTGATGTCAGGGGGTGTGGCATATGCTAATGAGTTATGCTAATGAGTTCCCCTAGCTCTTTTTCTACGAAACGACCCCTGTCAGAGCTCAACTCGGGACACTATACCTCGCATTTATCCCTGGTTGTAACAGCATCCGTTTATCCCAGGACAAGTGTGGGGCGAAACCGAGGTGACCTCAATGTAATGTGGAAACAAAAAATACCCCGAGATAATTACAGGGGTGAACTCGAGTGTAGCGTAGAATGTAAAAATACCCGGAGATAATTACAGGGGTGAACTCACGTGCAGCGTAGAATGTAGAGAGCCAGTTTGGTGCAGTGGTTAAGTGTGCGGACTCTAATCTGGGAGAACCGGGTTTGATTCCCCACTCCTCCACTTGCACCTGCTGATGTGACCTTGGGTCAGTCACCAGCTCTGGCACAGCTGTCCTTGAAAAAGAGCAGTTTGTGTCAGAGCTCTCTCAGCCCCACCCACCTCACAGGGTGTCTGTTGTGGGGAGGGGGAGGGAGTTTGTAAGCCGCTCTGAGACTCCAAGTGAAGGGCGGGGTATAAATCCAATCTCTTCTTCTTCTTAGTACGGGGACAGGGTAGAACCATGATTTAAGGTCTAGTGCAGAAAGGACCTCTGTCTTGAACAGAGCTTCAAGTTCTAAGGTACCCTCTGAGACACTCTGCAACAAACTACAGCAAGAAGTCCAGCGTCGTGGGGAAGTCTGAATAAAATGCAGGCTCTGATGCTGCGACTTCGTGCTTTTGCTGCCGGAATGATGTTTCGTGTCTCATAACTCCCCTCTTAAGTATCTACAACAGTAGGCATATCCTTTGAACGAGTGGTGGGGTATGAAACTCAAGCCATTTCTTCCATAGACATTTTTTTCCCTAATGGTTTGCTTACAGAAATCATTCTCAGCCCGGGCGGTGTCTCGTTCTCATCAGCGGGCGGAGCACATTCTAAAGAACCTGCAGCAGGAAGAGGAGAAGAAGCGTCTCGGCCGAGAAGCGAGTCTGATCACGGCCATTCCCATCACCCAGGAGGCTTGTTATGAACCCACCTGTCCCCCCAACGCAGAGCAGGAAGAAGAAGGTGCGCTTTGAATGCGGGAATGACCTGCCAAGGGCTGAGGAAAATCTCTTCCCAAACACTACGAGGGTCCATGGTTTTGTTTTAAGTACACAGACGAGAGAGCGAAAACCTTGGATCCATCGGTGGTGGTGGAAAGTGATATCAAGTCACGGCTGACTTACGGCAACCCACAGGGTTTTCAAGGCAAGAGATCCTTGCCGTTCCCTACTTCTGCATAGCGACCCTGGACTTCCTTAGTGGTCTCCCATCCAAGTACTAAGCAAGGCCAACGCTGCTTAACTTCCAAGATCTGATGAGATCGGGCCAGCCTGGGCCATCCAGGTCAGGGCCTTAAAGCCATTAGCAAAATTTAATCCATCTCAGGCTGTGGGCACACGGGCAGGAAAATGCGGGGGGGGAGCATGGCTGTTTGCCCCGGGGCTAAAAAATGTGTGGTTGCACAAGCAGACCTACCATGGAGGTCCCGTGGTAAGGGGGAGGTGCCGATCACTCCACAGTCCTGCAGCGCGGCAAAGAAGCGGGGCGCGGGGCAAACGGGATTGGTTTTTTTAAAAAACTCAAATGTGCGCATGCCCCCTTGGGTGCTTGTGCGCATCCGTGGAGACTTTGGGGGGGGACTTTTTGCGAGGGGACATGGGCGGGCACTGGAAACCAGAAACGCGATCAGACGCCCGCCCTTGCCCCGCGGTTTCAGGAAACTAGTACCTCCGAGGTACTAGTTTTTTACCGCGCATCTTCCGCGGGAAGCCTCGGGTTTGCCACGGGAGCTCGACGCTTCCCAGATGTGGCGGTGAGATCGCGCCCGGAAAATCCGCCTATCTTCCGTCCCTCTAGCGTGCCTAATGCTCCGTGTGACCGCAGCCTCGGTATACTTTGCTGGCATCATCTACAGTCCGTGTCAAAGATTGAGAGCTACGTTTGTTGTGGGTGTTCATTTGTTCCACACAAAACACTTTGATTAATTCTGGAAGAATTTTTGCTAACGTAACTGAGGCTATCTCTGCATTAGCGAAATTCCCCGCATCGATGTTTTTAAAACTGTGCATTATGTGAAATTATCTGCAGTGGGTTTTTCCTCACCAGCATGCCTGTAGCCAGGATTTTTTTAATTCAGGAGGCCTTTAAATAAGTCAGGGGGTGCCCCCCACACACACACACCAAGCCTGGGAGCGCCCTATAGAAGCTCCTGGTGTCTCATACAAGCCACCAAGGGAGAGACGTAGTGAAGGGATGAGCCCCCCCCCCCCCAGCCTGAAACTGCACCCTTCACCTGGCTCTGCAAAACGTTGGGAGGCCTGGGCGGTAAGTGTGGGGGGTGGCCCCGATATGCCCCACCGTAACTACTGGCCCGCTCACCAGGCACAAACCCAAAGTGTTCTCCTTCTTACCCCCCGTTTTCGGAATCCCCAGTTTTAGCAAGTTCCAAAAATGCGGAGTGAAAAGGAGAAAACTTCAGGTTTGTGCCTGGTGAGGAAAGACCTACGGCGGAAAATTTCACATAACTCGCAGTTTTAAAAACATCAATGTGGGCAATTTTGCTACTGTGGAAAGGGTCTGAGGCAACACAACCTTCTGCTTATTCAAAACCAATGAGAATTAAGCAGGTAGATATAGACTGAGCGTAACGTAGGACAATAGGCAAGAAAGTGTTGAAATTAGGTCCTGGCACACTCTTGGCTTCCTTTCCATTAATAGCTTCACCAAGTTCAGCATCATTAACCAGCGCACACACTAAATAAGATACATGCACATAATTCCAATTCAGAAGTCCACAAGGTGAGATAGGGTATAGGACAGGGAAGTAGGGTTACCAGCTCCAGGTTGGGAAATTCCTGGAGATTTCGGGGGTGGAGCCTGGGGAGGGTGGGGTTTAGGGAGAAGAGCAGAGGTCATTTTGGGGGGGACCGTGGGGGATCGCAGTTCTCCCGGGTGAGGTGCAGGGGGGCGGGGCACATGACGAAGCCCCGCCCCCTGCTGGCCGCCCCGCTTCCGGCCCTCATTCAGCCAGGAGGGAGGGTAAGTTGCTTCCTCCCCGCTTCTCCCCACCCCTGCCTGCCTGGGGCCAGGGAGGGCCTTGGCGGGTCTTCCTCGCACTCCCGCTGGCCTTGCAGGTCCACCACCGGGCCCCTGATGTCAGGGGGTGTGGCATATGCTAATGAGTTATGCTAATGAGTTCCCCTAGCTCTTTTTCTACGAAATGACCCCTGGAGAAGAGAGACACTAGCAAGGAATAATGCCATAAAGCCTACCTTTCAAAGCAGCCATTTTCTTCAGGGGGACTAATCTCTGTTGCAAGGAGATTAATTGTAGTCCCGGGAGATCTCCAGCCACCACCTAGAGGTTGGCAACTCTATGAGGAAGGCAGAGAGACCAGGCTTTGCAGACAGGAGCAAGAGAGATTGCCCTGAGGGTGTCATAATTTTAAGGGGGTTTGTCTGACCCAAAGACTGCAGCTGAAAATAGAAAGAGTGGCTGGCCCAGTGATGTGGAAAATCAGGCTTTCTCCTCTGAGATGTCCTTCAATGTTTTTAAATTTTTCATTTCGGTTTAAGAAGGAAGGTTTTAAGATGGAAGATGGAAGGTAAGCCAGTTTGGTGGAGAGCCAGTTTGGTGAAGTGGTTAAGTGCGCGGACTCTAATCTGGGAGAACTGGGTTTGATTCCCCACTCCTCCACTTGCACCTGGCTGGATGACCTTGGGCAAGCCATAGCTCTGATAAGAGCTGTCCTTGAAAAAGAGCTCTCTCAGCCCCACCTGCCTCACAGGGTGTCTGTTGTGGGGAGGGGAAGGGGAAGGAGTTTGTAAGCCGCTCTGAGACTCCTTTGGGTAGTGAAGGGCGGGGTATAAATCCAATCTCTTCTTCCTCCTCTGTGCTAACTTCTCTGATTCCTCAGGCAGTCTTCGATAGTGTGTTTCTATAATAAATAAATCCTTGATATCAAACAGTAGGATTACCATCTCTGGGTTGGGAAATACTTGGAGTTTTGGGGGTGGAACCTGAGAAAGGGGGGGCTTGGGGAGGGGAGGGACTTAAATGGAGTATAATGCCATAGAAGAAGAAGAAGAAGAGGTTGGATTTATACCCCGCTCTTCACAAAGGAGACTCAGAGTGGCTTACAAACTCCTTTCCCTTCCCCTCCCCACAACAGACACCCTGGGAGGTAGGCGGGGCTGAGAGAGCTCTTTTTCAAGGACAGCTCTTATCAGAGCTATGGCTTGCCCAAGGTCATCCAGCCAGGTGCAAGTGGAGGAGTGGGGAATCAAACCCGGTTCTCCCAGATTAGAAAATGCACCTATGGATGAAATACAAGAACTAATCATTCCCTTAGGAAGCCAGCTTTAGGGCTTTTTTCGCTCTTGTAGTAGATTAGCACAAGGATTCTCGTCGAAGATTCGTAAACCGAAATTCACACGCTCAATTTGTTTTGCCAGTAGAAGAAGTCACCAACCTGGCATCTCGCCGTCTCTCTGTCAGTCCGTCTTGCACCTCTAGCACGTCACACAGGAATTACTCCTTCCGGCGTGGCTCTGTATGGTCAGTCCGTTCAGCGGTCAGTGCAGAAGGTAAGACATATTTGGATGAGATTCCTGGCTTACTTTACCAGTGCTCTTAGGTGCTCTTTGGCCAAGGAGTACCTGTGCATGCCTTTAAACCTGGCTCCAACAGACAGATGAAACAAGTGTTCAGTAGAAATGGCATGCTTGTGTTCCATTCGTTGTTTTGGGTTTTTTAAACATTTAGTATGGATCTCATCATGATAAAACCTGGGTGCATCTTATGGTGAGAGTAGTGAGAGTCCAGCATGGACAACTAGGCCCTGCTCACACATTGACCTATTTGTATGTTAGCCTCCAGGGCCTGAACAATGAGAGTACTGTTCTGCTTTCAGGGCTCTTTTTGTAGCAGGAGCTCCTTTGCATATCAGGCGACACACCCCTGATGTAGCCAATCCTCCAAGAGCTTACAGTAGCCCCTGTAAGAAGAGCTCTGTAAGCTCTTGGAGGATTGGCTACATTAGGGGTGTGTCGCGTGATATGCAAAGGAGCTCCTGCTACAAAAAGATCAGGTCACGGATGTGTAGGGTTGCCAGGTCTGGGTTTGGAAATACCTGAAGATTTTGGGGGGTGGAGCCTGGGGAAAATGGGGTTTGGGGAGGGGAGGGACCTCTGTAGGGTGCAATGCCATAGAGTCCACCTTCCAAGGTGGCCATTTTCTCCAAGGGAACTGATTTCTTTTTTTCTTTTTTTACATTTTTTTTATATATTTATACGCACAAACATTTCATCTATTTAGATTACATATAATTCAGAGTCTTCCATCTCTTACTTTTTATACAAGTTGGGGATATTAATTTTCTAACAGTTTTTCTATCCACTTATACACTTTTCCCCACCTCCTTTCATGCACCTTTTCATTTTTATTTTGAAGCATTAGACTTAAATTATCCATTCTGGCGAGTTCCAGTATCTTATCAATTAATTGTTCCCTTGTAGGAATATCTTCAACTTTCCAGGGGAACTGATTTCTATTACCTGGAGACCAGTTGTAATTCCTGGAGATCTCCAGCCAGTCCCTGGAGGTTGGCAAGCCTACAGATGCATGCTGGAACGTAGTCAGACATATATCGGGGAACTCACTTTAAAAAGCACTCGTTCACTCAGTGCGGTGATGGGGTGAAGGACATTACACTTCTCGCCTGTTTTCCCCCAGCAGAAATGGCAGGGGAGGGTAGTTTTTGCCCCTTATGAAAAAGGCCCCCCCCCACTGCTGCCACCATTTCCATAGGAGACAACCCAGCAAGAGGGAAACCAGAACTAGATGGACCACTGGTCTGATCCAGCAGGGCTCTTCTTATGTTCTCTAGAAAGCTTCAGCCTCTCTGTTCTGTTTGTTGGTCCTCCAGAGGAACTGGTTGGCCACTGTGTGAGACAGAATGCTGAACTAGATGGACCACTGGTCTGATCCAGCAGGGCTCTTCTTATGTTCTTATGTGTGTTGAACCAAGTTTAACCATCTGAGCAAAGCTCCTCGTTTTCAGTTCGTTTCTTGCTCAGTCTGCAATGCATGGTGCTGTTGTTTCTGTTTCCATAGTGACAATGACTCTTTTCTTAACATAAAGCTTCATTATGTACAGCCATGGATGCCAGTCTGTAATTAAGTGAGATTTCACTTGACGCCGCCCAATTTCCCTTTTCTAGATGAGGAGCACACGACAGAACACACGCCGAACCATCACGTCCCACAGCCTCCGCAAGCGGTGTTCCCAGCATGCATCTGTGCAGCCGTGCTTCCCATTGTTCACTTGATGGAAGACGGAGAAGTCCGGGAGGATGGCGTAGCAGGTGTTGTTTGAGCTGACACGTTTCTGAAACCATTAAGAGACTATCAGATTCTCTAGAAATGCGGCCTAAACAGCCAAAAGCAGTGGGTACCTGGGAGAGAGAATATTTTACCTTTCTGTATAGGAGCTGCGGTGGCTCAAGTGGTTAAGATGCTGAACTGCAGGCTGTGGAAGGTCAGTAGTTCAGCAGTTCGAGACCCGGGTGCCGCATGACGGAGTATTATAGTTCAAGCATGGGTATTTGTTTGGCCATCAAGTCACAATCCTGTAGGGTTTTCAAGGCAAGAGACCGTCAGATGTGGTTTGCTGCTGCCTGCCTTTGCGTAGCAACCCTGGACTTCCTTGATGGTCTCCCATTCAAATACTAACCAGGATCGACCCTGCTTAGCTTCTGAGATCTGGCAAGGATGGGCTAGCCTGGGCCATATTTGTTTTACTCTAAAAACTAGCCTTTCACTTCCAAGAGAGCCAGATTTTAAAAGTCACCATTAGCAGAGTGCATATCTCATTCAACTAGTTTTTGACCGATTATCTAATTTGCAACTCAAACTCTCCCCAGCACTGGTTTATTTGGCTATCTGCCCTAGGTTAGGGAGTACATCCTATTGGCAAAAGACTGGCATTTATGAATGGAAGGACTCGGTAGATTAAACCGTTGGTCTATCAAGGCCAGTATTGTCTGACCGGCAGTGGTTTTCCAGGGTCTCCATTAGAAGTCTTTCACATCGCCTACTAACTGATCCTTTTAAGCACTGGGTCACTGATCTGTGACTAGACTTGTAGTCAGACATATGTCGAAGCAGGGAGAGAACGGATCTCAACAAGTGCTCACTTGCTCAGTGCTCCCTCCACCTAATTCTACCACATGTCCCTCCCCCCTTTATTTTAAAATCTTGTTCTCAAGTCCTTTTTATCTCTAACCTCCTTGGCAACAGAATGTACTTAAGAGTAGTGACGGCCCAACTAGCTCGTGTCTTTTGTCTTGTGCAGTGAGCGCCGTGGCTCAACAGGTCCTGTGGAACTGTCTCATCGAAGATCCTTCAACAGTTCTTCGGCACTTTCTGGAGAAGCTGACGATCAGCAATCGGCAGGTAGACACCCTGCTTTCCTCCTTGTGGAATATCATTCGTCAGGAGACTTCAAGGCAGGGAAGCTGTGTTAGTCCATTGTAGCAAAACAAAGCAGAAGTCCAGAGGCACCTGAAAGACGAACAATGTTTATCCCAGCATGAGCTTCCATGAGTCAGACATTTCCCACCAGGGGTCATTTTGTAGAAAAAGAGGTGCAGGAGCTCATTAGCACAACTCATTAGCATAACTTATTTGCATATGCCACACCCCCTGACATCACCGGAAGTGTGTCAGAAGGCAACACCCACCGCTCAGGCTCCACTGGACTGTTTTGGATTGCTAGCTATGGGGGGTGGGGGAATGTGCAGATCTGTCCTCGCAGACTGTTTTGGACTGGGGATCTGGGGGGGGGGGCTCTGCAACTTACCTGGCTGCTTCTTACTCTGACTGAGGGCTGCTGGGAGCAGGGGGTGGGGCTTGTTGCATGTGCCCGCCCCCTGGGCTCTTTACTGTGCGCTCCTGCAGGAAATGACACCTGTTTCCCACAGTGTCAAGTTCCCCCCTGCCTGCTCTTCTGTTCATCCACGGCTTACCCTTGTTTCTGCAGATGATTTCTCCCTCTTATGAGCAAAAACGCAGTTTGCCTTCTCTTGTGGCGCAGCATGGGAATTTCCAGAAACAGGGATGTCTGATGCTGTGGAGCAACAGGGAACAAACTGCGTTTCTCTGCCTGTGACTGCAAAAACATCTGCAGAAACGAGGGAAAGCAGTGGAGGAACGCAAGTGCAGCTGTGGGGGAACTTGACACTGCAGAAAACGTCTCAGAGCTAACTTCCTCAGATGCACTGGGAAGAAAGAAAATAATTTCCCTCATATTTATCCAGAAAATTACAGAAGGGGGAAGGAAAAGGGGATTTCAGGGACTTGAACAGCTTGAGCTATTATACTTGACTGATGACGAGAGGGGTCAGTAGTCCTATCCTCTCTCTAATGTGGTAAAGATAACCAAAATGTGATATAGCAGGGTAAATAACAAACTAATTAAAGGAGAAGCAGTTTGAAGCATTAGAGAATGAAGTGACAGCAGTAAACTGTTATGGTACGATACACCATGTTAAGAAAAGTTTATTGACATTTCTAAAAAGTGGGTCCTGGTGGGTTATTAGAAATCAGAATGTGTGAGGAAATCGGAGTCTTGTTTTAAGCCAAGATGACAGAAACTGTTTAAGTGCTTGATGAGTTCCATTTCAGGACTTAAGTTGTATATTTTCCTTTGAAGGTTTTTTTTGTTTTGTGTGTTTGTTTGTTTGTTTGAGAACAGTGTTGTTCAGATCTGCAGCAGTATGTCCAGGAAGATTAAAATGGTCCCCTGCTGCCTCTGAGTCCTGTGATATCTTATATCAGACATGTGCTCATTGATTCTCTTACAATTGATTTATTTATTATTTATTTATTCGTTAGATTTCTATCCTGCCCTCCTGCCGAAGTGGCTCAGGGCAGCTCACAACAATGATAAACCCAGCATAAATACATACATAAAATACAACTCAATAAAATAACTCGGCTCATTTCCAATTAAATAAAAACAGTTAAAACCATTTAAGTGTGGCGGTGTCGTATACTAAAGTGCGAGTGGAGCACAGCCGATATAGGGTCTTTCCTACTGGGACGCCTGGCAAAAAAGCTCCGTTTTCAGGGCCCTGCGGAATTTCACGGCCCTGCGGAATTGCTCTACAAAGTAGAGACTGACACGTTTGTCCAATGCAGACAGTAGAAGGGGATGATGTACAAGTGAATGTGAACAGGATGCTATAGTTGATGCTGTTTAGTTCCAAAAGAGTATTGCCAAAGTATCTGTGGGGACAAAGTTGGCAACTTAGATCTGTTGCACGGTTTGGATTATTTCAAAATAGGAGTGAACCATGAACAGACTGGGGCCCAGATGTATACCTCTGGGCCATGTTTCACCTTTTGTAAAGGAAAAAATCCTTATTCCACCTCCCTTCCTGGATGGGACTTTAGGAAACGTAACAAAAAGTTTGCTATTTATTTGTTGCTATGACTGGACCTAGCGAGATGAACAGAAGCAGGGATGCCAGCCTCCAGGTGGGACCTGGGGATCCCCCAGAATCACAGCTCACCTCCAGACTAGAGATCAGTTCCTCTGGAGGAAATGGGTGCTTTGGAGGGTGGACCCTGTGGCATTGTACCCCCCCCCCCGAGGTCCCTGTCCTTTCCGGGCTCCACCCTGAAACCTCCAGGAGTTCCCCAACTTGGGTCTGGCAACCCTGTCCCCGCCCCCATCCCCTGCCAGTGGCCGGGGGGGTGGAGGACCTGCCCACCCTAGAAGACAGTCATTCTGTCATTCATGCGAAGGAACCATTTGGCAGAGAGAAGGAAAGCAAGTTAAGCAAAATGAAGGTGTTCCCTGGACATTTTGTGATGCCACTGAAATAGATTCCTCTCTTATTCTAGGATGAGCTGATGTACATGCTGAGGAAGCTGCTACTCAACATTGGAGACTTCCCTGCTCAGACGTCCCATATCCTCTTCAATTACTTGGTGAGCTTCTCTGAGTCTCCACCTGAATCCACAGTGTAGTCTTTTGTGCTCTACAGAACGAGAGAATCCTCCCACTGGTTCCAAGCAGGCAGGGCTAACTCAAATTAGCTTGCAGAATATCTCCTGCAGTGGGTTGATGCCACATCCAGTTCTGCCCCGACTTAGCTCTGGCAGCACACAGCAATTGGGCTCTGGGTTTTTCCCCCCTCCTGGGGCCTACTTAGGGGTGCCAGGCCTCTGGTGTGGGCAGGCGATTCCCTGCCCCAATGGCTGCTGCAAATGCAACCAGCAGTGGGAGAAAAATTAGAAGGAAAAATAAGGCCTCTTCTGCTTACAGGAAGTTCTTACCATAGAGTTCCTGGTGATTCCTAGAGCTACCTGGGAGTGAAAAGGGGTAGCTCTAGGAATCACCAGGATCTCTATGGTAAGGGCATCTTGTAAGTTATTTTTTCAAGTTTTCTCCCAGGATGCTGCCCCCCTTCCACCCTGTCATCAGTTGCTAGGCACTGCCTGGCAACACTAGGCCTATTGTACTTACCTCAGATCCTTTCCCCTTTTTGTTCTAATCTACCTCTTAGCATCTTACTTGATTCCCCACTCTTTTCCCTTCCTTAGTCTTATCCCTCCCTCTCCCCTGTCTGGCTTCATCATCCCTTTCTACTCTTAGCAAAGGGAGGAAAAGTTAGGACGGCCTCAAGAACATGGTTTGTAATCCTTTGTGACTGTAAATCCCAAGAAATTCTGTTTGGGCCTGGTCCAAGTGAAAACAGCATGAGACTAATATGGTTCAGAGGATGGTGTTTGTTCAAATGCCTGTCCTATTGTGATGGAGGAAGGAAAATGTAGGATATTGCTTAGAGAGGAGCATCAAAGAATCAAAATGTTGGGAAAAGAATAGAGTCACTGCCATAACTAGTCAGTACAAGAAGATATGAAGTGTTTATAACAACTTGCATTTCAGTCTTCAGGAGCCACTTTGGTATAGTAGTTAAGAGCACAGGCTCTAATTTGGGACAACTGGGTTTGATTCCCCACTCATCCACATGCAGCTGCTGGTGTGACCTTGAGTCAGTCACAAGTTCTCTCAGAGCTGTTCTCTTAAGGGCAGTCCTTGAAAGAACTCCCTCAGCCCCACCTACTCCATAGGGTATCTGTTGTGGGGAGGGGAAGAGGAAGGGATTGCAAGCTGCTCTGAGACTCATTCGGGTAGTGAAGGGTGGGGTATAACATAAGAGGGTATAAATCCAACCTCTTCTCCTCCTCTGCTGATCAGCCAAGACATGCATCATAATTATGCTGAGGAAGGTTAATTAAGGTCATACAGATTGGTTGCCAAACTCCAGGTAAAGAAGAAGAGAAGGTTTTTATACTCCATGTTTCTCTACTTTAAGGCTTACAATCACTTTCCCTTTCTGAGAGAGTTCTGAAAGAACTGGGAATGGCTCAAGGTCATCCAGCAGGCTTCAGATGGAGGAAGAGTGGGGAATCAAAAAACAGTTCTCCAGATTAGAGTCCAGTGCTCTTGACTGCTACACCATTCTGGCTCTCACTGGTGGGCCTGGAGATCTCCCAGATTTACAACTGATTCTCAGACAACAGAAATCAGTTCCCCTGGAGAAAAAGGTTACTTTGAAAGGTTTACTCACTGTAAACCGTTGAAGTCCCTCCCCTCCCTAAACCACATGATCTCATGAGAACATAAGAGAAGCCATGTTGGATCAGGCCAGTGGCCCATCCAGTCCAATACTCTGTGTCACACAGTGGCCAAAACCCAGGTGCCATCAGGAGGTCCACCAGTGGGGTCAGAACTCCAGAAGCCCTCCCACTGTAGCCCCCCAAGCACCAAGGATACAGAGCATCAGTGCCCCAGACATAAGAACATAAGAGAAGCCATGTTGGATCAGGCCAATGGCCCATCCAGTCCAGCACTCTGTGTCACACAGTGGCCAAAATCCAGGTGCCATCAGGAGGTCCACCAGCAAAGCCAGGAGTTTCCAAACCCAGAGGTGGCAACATTCATAGTTTGAAATGAAGATAATATTTAGGACAAGGTAATACTTAGACACCAATTAGTATGGTAAAAAGCAAGTCGTGTCCCTTTGTGGTCCATAGGTGGGACTGATCATGTATTTTGTCCGTACGCCATGTGAATGGGGCATGGATGCCATTTCAGCAACTCTGACCTTCCTATGGGAAGTGGTGGGCTACGTAGAAGGACTCTTCTTCAAGGATCTCAAACAGACTATGAAAAAAGAGCAGTGTGAAGTGAAGCTGCTAGTTACTGCCTCAATGCCAGGTATGGAACTCACCCTCGTGAAGCACTCGGGGATCATAGACATGAATTTCTTCCATTTATTTATTTATTTATTTTAGTTAATTTAATTTATCACACAGTCCTATGGCGATGTAGTTAAGACAATTAAGTCATTCAGAGTTCTTCATCAGAACATCAGAACTGCAGAATAAACAGGATTGTGGTGGAATGGAAGTGTTTTGATTCAGTCATGGCAATCCACGTGTTAATAGGCAGACACTGACTGATGGGTTCTGTATTATTTCCTTCCGAACCACTTAAGCAGATACTGTGTACTAATGCTGGTCTTTTGAAGCCAGGTAAAGTGGGAATTGGATGCCTTTTCTCTTTTGTAGGCACCAAGACCTTGGTGGTTCATGGGCAAAACGAATGTGATATCCCAACCCAGTTACCTGTGCATGAAGATACCCAGTTTGAAGCCCTTTTAAAGGTGTGAACAGTTATTTTATTAGTAATGTGCGGGTCATGTTCCACTAGAAGAATATAAAGAAAAAGAAGATGAAGAGCTATTGACCCTATTAGGGGGAAATAGTCTTTTTGCTTGTCACCCTCCACTAAGAGGCAGGTTCATTGGCGGAAGAAAGAAATGATCTAGGATGGACTAGGAGGTACCTCCCACTTCCTTTCTTTGGTGAAAGAACCTGCCTCCTAGTGGACGGAGTAGTCCGGATTGGTGTCAGGCAAAATTTACCAATAATTGAACAGTTAGGCTGCATACTTGTACAACAGGAACATTAAGTAAGAGTTGATATGTGGTTTTTTCCCCCCATGTCAGGAATGTCTGGAATTTTTTAACATACCTGAAACCCAGTCTTCTAACTACTTTTTAATGGATAAACGATGGAACCTTATTCATTATAATAAGGTGAGTCAAAAAGTTTTGTGTTCTGATGGCAGGAATCCATCATTACTTTAAACTTATTTCATATCTAATATAAAATAGTGGCCTATACAGTGGGTAGTTTCAGACGGTGGCCGTGCGGGTCTGCTGTAGAAAAGCGGGATCTGGTAGCACATTAAAGACCAACAAGATTTTCAGGGTATGGGCTTCTTTTTTGGGTATTTGTGTGTGTGTGTGTGTGTGTGCGCGCGAGTGTCTGCACCTGGAAGTCATGGCAACCTCTGGCGACTGACTGTGTGTGCACCCGGAAGTTATGTTGACCTCTGGCGACTGCCCCCTACTGGGGGCCTGGAGAATATTCAGAGAGGTGGCTGAATAAAGCCTGCCCCTGTCCTCCCGCCTCTGGTATTCCAAGGACGTCTCCCATCCAAGTACTAACCACAGTCAAGCCTGCATAGCTTCCGAGATCTGACAAGATCTTGCTTGCCTGGCTATCCAGGACAGGGTAGGGTATAAGCTTTTAAGACTCAAAGCCCCTTCGTCAGACACTCAAATGCTTATACCTTGAAAATCTTATTGGTCTCTAACATGCTACTAGACTAAAATCTGTTATACAGTAGGTAGGTTGTGTCATTCTTCTTGAGAATGCAGAAACAAAAGATTATTTATCTTCCATTTTTAATGTTGGGGTAAATTTAATCTATTTAAAACATTTTATGCTGCCTTTCTGCCCTATCAAAATCACCAGGGGAATGCACATAAAACATTACAACATTTGAACAATTAAAAACAACATTTAAAATTATAAAA